CAGCACGCTAGGACCGCAGCCAAGCTGCTTCCCTCGTGGACCTCCCACTGCAGAAAGTCTTCCTCCAGGATGAGGTTCCTCTGCTAAGGAAAAGCAAGGCAACCCCTTCAGCACAGCACAAAGCCTTTTGCAACAGTTTTGTCCCAACAGGTCCCCCCCTGCTTGCTGCACACACCTCTCCCAGGCAGAGTGGTGAGGAGCAGACTGGCACACAGCTCCCTCTCAACAGGAAAGACTATCACTGGGTTTTGAAGGTGCCCGTAGCCAATGGAAAGCAAAGCCTTTTCTGCTTGAGGGAACAGTAATTAATGGCACCAAAGCACAGCAGAGGATCAGGAGCAGCAGGGCTGCAGAAGGCTTGATAAACACGTTTGGTCTTGCACGTTTCTCACTGTCACTCGTTCACCACGTGCCCACACGTCTGTGGTTTGGCACCATGTTCAGCTGTCCTCTTACAGAGCTCTGGGACCTTTCACTTGTGAAAGCAGGGTTGGTTTTTGTTGTGGATGTTTTTTTAATTTATCTTTTTTTTTTTTAATGCTGGAAGGAAACCAGCAAAGATTTAGGCAAGTTTCATCGAAGTTTCCAGGGAATGTTTGCCCCCTCTGTGAAGAAGTGCTGTTAACAGCAGCTCTAACAACTTAGGAGCCTAGTTTGAGGGACCTGAAACAAGGCTGAGGCTCTGAAGAATTCCATTCCAAGACTGTTGGTTAGCATGAAAAATACCTTTCTCCCCTACCCCCCAAAATGCCTTAAACCATGAGTTTTTAAAACATATTTTAAATCAACATGTGTAAGGAGTAATTTTTCTACTGCAGATCATGCTGTGCACTCCTGCAACAGTGACACAATTCTGTTTTCTGGTTTTGCTTTTATCAACATTCAGCTTTAACAATAAGGAAATTCTAAGAACATTATTATTAGAATCAAGGCAACTCTAATTGGATTTTGTGGACTGTGATTGGCATCCCAAGCACAGCATCAGACAGAAAGGGGAACATACAAGGGACAAATCTCCAGGACACTTTCAGATTTAGCAACCATTTGGGTAATTATAAAGCTCCATTTTATAAAGAATCAGGAAAAAAAAAAGATTAATTTATAAATCAGTTTATTTACAGATTTTGTTCTCTTAAAGTACATTTCAGTTACCAAAGATATTTACACTGGTGTACACAGGGACCACCCTGGTTATTTTACAATTCTTAATTACAAAAAAAAACCAACCCAAACCCTCCCAGATCCTTGGGTCTGTCTACTGTGCAAAGCTGCTCTGGATGTGAACATTGCTGAAACTAGCCCAAGAACCAAGTTACCAGGTTATTTACACATAGACAGTAAACAGGTTTCTTCTCAGCATCTCCACAACACAGTACAGGGGGAAGCCAGAGCCCCCCAAAAGGCTGCTTTGCAAATATGTATCAAAAGGCTCTGCAAAGTCAAGGAAAAAACTAGTAAATGCAGGTTAATTACAGTATTCTCTTTCATCTGTATATATTTTTGCATTTTAACATTTAAATTACAAATAAGTTCAATGCTTTTCTCCATTTTAGTTGATTTGTAAACACTTCAGATGCACTAAATACCTTGTAAGATTCAACTGTTTCTCTGCTGAAAAGTACTTTATTTTCCTAATATTCTTAAGGTAGCAAAGGGATATGAAAGTTGGAACTAGTTCCTTGTGGAATAGTCACTTAAAAGGTCTCTATCACTGTGCTACTGAAGATCTTCAGGTACACACTTATTCAAGTATTGCAAAAAGCTAAGGCCACTTTTTCAAGAAAGGAAAGTGAACAAGATGGGATTTTTTTTCAATCCACCTCATGTTCTACCTCACGGGCAAGGTGGCACTTCTGAAAGGCAGAAGTACTCATGCTCCACAGCTCAGCTCAGGGAGCATCCTGCTGTGAGAGGTGCTCCTTCTCCACAAACCTGGGCTTTCCCACCTTGCACAGACACACTTCAGAAGAGGGAACTGCACCTCCCCAGTGATGGCAGCCACTGCCCCAAACAGCATGTGGGGCTCAGAAAAACGGCTCAGCCTTGAATCATCTCATGTGGTTGCACCAAGATAACCAGGACCCAGAAATATCATCTTGTTCTTAGAATGGAAAGGCTGAGGAGAGAAATAGAGAATTCAGCCTCTGTTTGTGAGACTCTAGGCTTCCCCAGGCCTCCTTGTTAGCAGTCAAGACTCAGACAGACCCTCGTGGCATCGCAGGAATCATCAGTCCCCAAGTACTCAACAGACTTCAAGTTTTGAGTACACACTCAACTCAACACACTTGAGGTATTGAGAAGGTAATTCACGTACGTTCAAGTCTTTTTAGGGTTGCTCATATCAAGGATTGCTACCAAAAATAAATGGTGGTGATGTTTGCAAAGGAACAAAGCCATTTCTTAAGACACAGCTTCCTTCTGCCCAAACAGCTGTAAAAATAGTTACTACTTCTCATGAAGGTACTAAAATAGTGCTACCCCAAGCCAGCAAGACAACAGACATACAAACTCCAGTGGTCCCCAGCAGTACAACCTTCTCCCTGCTGGTGGACAGACCAGAAAAGCCATGCCAGCCCCACAGACCAGCCAAAAAGCCTGGGGGATGCAGGGCTACCTTCTCTACACTGACCACTGTATCTACAGAATGGCAACTAATTTTGTTTCTCTGATACTCCGGTCACAAACTTAGGTTGCAGGTTTCTGCCTTCTTTCCATAATTGATACCTATAAACATAGCAATCTTTGCTATCCAAGATACACCCAGGAAAGGGAATCTGAGGCAGTGACCCCATCAGTGACATCATGCTGGTTAAATGCAGCAGCTTTAGTTTGCTTCTGTCTTAAGCATTTGAGAGTTTCCTGGTTCAGCATCGTGACATTTTACACAGACAAGTGAATCACTTAGGAAAAAAGCTGAACAATGCTCCACCAAGACCATTTGAGTTCTAGCCAGCCAGAAGGGCCACTACTGCAGAGCAGACATGCATGTTCCCTGTTGGAGGTGTTCCTAGACACCACAACCTCCTCCTTGTTCTTCTACTCATTACACTCCCATGAATATGGCTCACCATTAACTCACAAGCCAGGTGCTGGCAATACTACATCTGAGAATTTGCATGGACTTCTGACAAATCCAACATTTCCCAGTGCTGTCCCTGAAGAATTACCAGCTGTGTGTCATTGTGCAAAATGCAAATATCCCAATGATAGCTTTTTATAAGGGAAAAAAAAAAAAAAAGGTGGAAAAGAGAAAACAAAGTGGAGCAGTAGCAGAGGTATGCATAGCAGGAAGCCCAAGAATCAAGCAGATGAAAGAGATGGTAGAGATGTCCCTGCCACACCTGTCATAGGTTATAGCATCTTTGGAGCACCTCTGAGGGCTTCAAAGTGTCTTTCTGCCTTCCAAGGTGTCTGGAGGATCGGACTCTCCCCTGGGTCTTGTCCCAGGTCAGAAAACAGGGACATCCACTATTAAGGCATCAACGTTCGACCCCAGATTGTCTGTTTTCCATCAAGGAAAACATAAGCATGGGAGAGACAGGTTAGGAAGGAGCACTCAGCAGAAGGACACTGCAGTTGAATCCAGCACCAAATCAACCATGTAACAGCTGCCCATGGTCTAGAAGTTTTGGGAAAGGAGGGAAACAGAGCAGGGAAGTTTCACATCATTTTTCAGCTCAGTCCTCTCATCTTTCCGTTGTCTCTGAAGTAGGCGTGGTGAAGCTCCATTCCTAGTCCTGCCTTTGCTTCCCACCTCTGGTGACTGAGGTTTGCTTCTTCTTACCTTCCCTCCCTGTATCTGTCTCAAGAAGCTGGAGGTTTTGCGTGAAGAATACGGAGCTCTGGAAGTTTCCAGAACAGATGCTTTCTCAAGTTTAGCTGTCTCAAAATACAAGACAGTGCAGCCAACTGGACAGGACACTCTCTTATAACCCACTTAATAAATTATCTGAAAATAAATAAAAACTCCACAAGCACAAAACATGCAGACAGTCAAGCACTGGACACTGCTTTCTTTGGTGAATACACTCTGTTCTCTAAAGTGTTCAAGTAACGGCTGCTTCGATTTGTTAGGTGACAGCAAGGGAGGAAGCTGAGGGATTGAAGGCCAACTTTTTGTGAGGAAGTGTTTTCCATTCCCGCATGTCTCGTGCCTGAGAAAATCCTGAGTATCCATTATCTGGGAGCAGCTGGTGCTCCAGGAAGAGAAGTGCTACACGGTAGGAGCAAAGTTGCCCATAGGCTCATCTTTCACCCTTGACATCAGGCAGCCTTTAACTTGCTCCTCCTTGGAACTGAAGCAAGTTACATAGGAAAAGCAGCAAGAATTATTTATTCAAATGCAGAAAGCAACATTTTCTGATTTCCCTGGACTGGCTGGCACCACTCATGGTACCACATCCCAGAAGAAACAGGAAAAGCAGCTTCACAGAGAACTGAACTGAATGGGCTCTGGAGCAGAAGAAAAGGATGCACATTGTTAGGGCTGCAGGAGAAGAAGTGTCAAGAGTGTAACACTGCTGAGTATGGTAAGTCTCCACTTATGACCAAGACCTGACCAAACTGTTTCTTCTCCGGGTTACTCACATTTCTCAAGAGAAGTTGAGCACTGAAGGCTGAAGCCATTCCAGCAAAGCAGCCAGCATCCCAACTTAACCCAACCCTTTCAGAGCACAAGCTGAACATGCCAAAGCCCCAGGCTGGTGCCCCAGAGAGCTGCTAACAGCTCCGTGGCAGAACTGCACTGGCACATGAACAGTCTTGAGCTCTCCACAACAGACCCTCGAGTGAGGGATCAGCTTGTTCCAAACAATAAACTCAGTGTCAGGTCTCGAGCAGTAACAGATGCAAAATCAGGTTCCTTTAATCACATCTGAACTGCCTTTCAACTCCAGGCGTGGAAGTCCAGCAGCAGTGCTTGCAGGGTGGAGAGCACTGTCAGGAGTCAGACAGGTCCCTGATGCAGTGGCTACTCAGCTGTAAGTTGATTTCCAGCACTGTCAGACAAGCAGCAACCTCCGCTGTTTCTCATTTATCTGGCTCAGAACATCAATAGTGTCTCTGATTAAGGCTTCAAAGATCCCATCTGCCAACTGCATCTTTACACACAGCTCATCCTCGTCGTAGTTCACCCACTGTGCTTCTTCCTCGTGAAGTTCCTGCACCTTGGGAAAGGAAAAGGCAAAGCAAACGTTACAATTCTGTTGCTCTAGGACAATATCCCCTGCAAAGTTCCAGAGAGAGCCCAAAACCAGGACGCTTCTGCCAACAACATATCTGTCTTTTTGTAAGAGATTACAGGAAATGCTTGGAATAGCAAAACGTACCCAGATCTGTTTGAACCAGGCTATTTTCACTGTATGAAGGTTTTCTACCTTTGACTGTAGTATCCATTTTAAAGGATTTCACACTCCCGCACAAGTCTTTCACTTGAAAGAACTCAGCTCATGGGCTATTCCTGACTAACAGCATTAAATAAGTCCCTAACTGTGTATGTGCAAGAAGCTGATTCCATGCAGCTTACACTGGTAAGAAATAATGCAAAGCCCTTGAACAGGGGAAGAAGAAAAGACTTTACCACAGTTCAGTTTATTTGAATAAGAACTAGAAAATCTGAAGTAAATAACTAAGTTTTCCAGTTCTTCTGTATAAGAAGACAAAATGCTGGCATGTGTTTCATTACAACTCATTTGCACAAAATACTTCATGCTAAAAGAGTAACTCAAAGAGTATTTATTTCCTTTGATTCCTGAGTTGTTGACAAGCAAAATCCTGTTCTACTGGTCACTGGCAAATAAGTGTTTTAGTAACAGACAGAAATATATAATTTAATTCAGTAAGTCTCACTGAGAGCTCTCCAAACTGAACATCTCTAATTATACTTAGAAAAAAAATTGCCTTAGTGATCACTTCAGTATTACAGATACTCAACAAAGCTCAACATTTTGTGAAAAGAAAAAGTGGATGCAAACATCAGTTATACTTAAAATTACAAAGGAAACTTGCTGGAAGCTCCTGCTCTGGTCAGCATCAGCAGAAAATGCCTCTGATCATGAATCCTGAACTCAAAATACTTTTACATTGTGCACATAGATAAGCAGGCCAGACACCTAGACACTGCCAAAACAAAAGAGAGCACAAGAGCTATAGCCCTACAGCCTCTCTCCCTCTGAAGTTACAAGTCCCAGAGACATGTCCCTTTTAGAGGTGACAGACGCTGTAGCATGATGATGATTCAATAACCCAAACACTGTGTGAAGCCCAAGAACAGGCTGCTGTGGGAACCTCAAGGGAACTGGCACTGCTGCAGGGTTTGTAGCCATTCCTAAGGCTTCAGCTACACATAGGATTTTAGCCTTACAGCTCCTTTCTCCCTCTCTTAAGAGAGCATGGGGAGAGGGGCAGGTGTCTCATCCTGGAAACAGCTTTGGAGGAGCCCTGCACAGCTCTGGTTTCCCATAGCACTGTCCATGACAAGGTGTTAATGGTTTCATTATGCTCCTTACTAATAGGGAAGAAGCCATAATATTGGCAATCAAACTTTGAACAACTATAGGTGAAAAATAATTTAAATTGAATGCTAACACGTGGTAGATAATTGCATGTAAGTCTGTGTGGGATGAATGTCTGCAAGAGACTTTTGAACTCTCTCTCTCAGGAAGAAGCTGGCTGCCTGCAACTGGTATGTGCTGGTTGTAAATTTTTATAAACCCTGGACTAAACAACAGCAGCATGTCCTAAGTCCTCCCATCAATCAAGAGATGGAAGATAGAAGTGCCAGTCTGGAGGCTGGTCATGTGTCGTGTGTCTGCATCCCAGAGTACTTAGATGAGGAAAAGCAAGTGAGATGGGTCATAAAAAGAGGTGGTGCCAAAAAGCAGGGTTTCCAGAAAGCAGAAGTGGTCTGGGAAAGAAGACAGGGACCCAGAGATCCTGGCTGGAGGAAAGATCCTGGAAATGGGGGAAGATCCTGGCGATGAAGGAGGTGGGTGGAGACAAATGCCAGGACACGCAGGGACCTTGGCTGAGGACATTCAAGGCTGGTAAGTGGGAGCAGCTGCACAATATCAACTGGTGTGCTTTTCTGCCCAACCCTCCCAGGCCAGCAGTGACCTCGCTGCTGGGAAGCAAAGCCAAGACCTAGTGAACCTCACACTGCAGTGAGGGGAAGCAAGCGAGTAACAATCAAGCAGGTTAAAAGCTCTGCTCTCACTGCCCCTTCAACAAATCCCAGTATCCACATCCACACAAAGCTGCTGTTTATTCTGTTTCACCTGCAACAACATGATGGGGCACTACCTTTGCTGTGCTCCAGAAGGAAAAAGGATTCAAGGGATAAAGAAACACAAGTAAATGGGAGAGGACAAGGTAACTTGACCCAGGCAGAGAAAGGCACTATAAAGCAGCAGAAAGATTAAGAAAGAAAAACAGTGTCAGTGATTCATTTTATCTTGCCTCTATCATTCTTCTCTTTCTCAGAGGCACAGTACACAATTTCCTTTGGTCTTAGGACTTCATTGAGCATGCTTTTGGAAAACTAAGAGAATGTGCAATTTGCAGCTGCAGGCAAGTCTGATTTATAGTGTATTTGGAACACATGTGGAAACTGCTGTGCTGCTTTGCAGCCCTGGCTGCAGGCATCTGAGCCCAGGCTTAATCTGGGAAATGTTTGATCCATTTGTTACGTTATTACAAACTGCTTCTATACAATGCAGACATTTTGCTTATATTTAGCAACTATCCTGGCTTTCCTGGCTTTGCATCGTCTTCAGTCTATCCACAGAATTTAAGTTCTTGTACAAAGTAAAACTTTAGCTATAGATACCAGGAAGTGAGTTCTCTGTACCAGAGAGAAAGGGCAAAGTCAGGAGAAAAAACAGTTTTAATGCAAATTATTTCCATTCAACAGGAGAAGATAAACAGTGACACAAGTGCAGAAGGCTGTGCAGTATGTTTTTTGTGTGCTTTGGTAGTTTTAAAATGCTTGAAGAAAGAAGAAGGCATGCAGAGAGTAGAAAAATCAAGAGAGAATGAGCCAGCATGATCCTGCTGGTCATCCAATAAATGCCCCAGTACCTCAAAACCAACACTTAAAATAATATAATCTGAAGGAAACTCCAGAAAGTAAATTATTAAGTTTAGGCTTCTGAAGGCTTCTGTTCAAACCCACGTATATCTGCAAAATAAACTACACGTGAAGAGTAACTAGATCATTTGGAGACTGAAAAATACAAAACTCCAGAACAAAGCTACTGCCTTGGAAAAATGCCAGAGGGAGGAAGGCAGGTGGGTGCATTCTCACAGCCTTTCACTCTCAGAGTGCCTGGAAATCTTCATGGCTGAGGATAGGAGCAGGCTTTGATTCTCCTCTTACTGTTGCACCCCCCTTGGCTGCAGAGGCTGCAGGCTTCCCAACCAAGCCAGCTTTGAACAGCTTTGCCTTGTTGCAGAGCTCAAAACCGCATGGGGAGAAACATTGTAGCCGCTAAGTCAACAGGTCAGGAGATCAAGTCCTTTTTCAGCACTCTGTTGGCAGGCTTCTCAGGTGTGAAAACTAAACACGTTGGCTTGGCAGCATCATGTGAGCTTTGCTTTCTCATGCTCTGGATAAAAGGGTGGCTGGGAAAGCAATGGCAGAGTCTGTGCAAACAGGTCAGCACAGAGAGTTCTGGCTGAAGACCAAAGTGAAAAAAAAAAGGTAGTGGAAAAGACTATCGTTAGCACCTGGACTCAAATAGATAGGAGGGTTCTTGCTGTACTTTAAAAAGAAGTTTTAACAAAGCAGCTTTTCCTAAGTGTGAACCTCTTATACTTGTTTCCTGAAAGCCAAGATTTGCTGTAAATATTAATAAGTGGAGCAACTATCCAGCAGATAAGACTTCTCTCAAAAAATCCCAGTACAAATGCTTCCTGAGGATAGAGATGCCTCATCACAGTTAACAGTGCTGCAAAAAAGGAGGAGAGGAAGGTGTTTTTTTGTCACTGGCAGAAAAACATAGCTAACTGTATTGGTGTCAGAGCTGGGAAAGCACAGACTTAAGTGAAAATGCATCTAAAGATGCAGTGACTGGAAGCAGAAAATTTCAAGGCACAGCAAGGAGGTGAAGGACTAAACCATCCTGTTCTCCCCTGAATTCCCAGCAGGAACGACTGCAGTCACTCACAGGACCCAGCATGACAGAGAGCATCATTGCAGGACAGGCTGCATATACTCCCATGCCTCTTTGCTACACGGCTGAACCTTTGGTGGAGACAAGAACCAGAAGGACATATCCAGAGATAATCAGAGAGAGATGAAGCTGAGCAGAACAGCTTGGCACTTGTTTCTGTGCCTTCAGAAGAAATAAAAGGAAATGCAACAAACAGCCCTGGCTCCTGGGTTTAGAGCCCCCTGACCATCCACAAGCAGATGATGGCACCATTTGACAGTTGTTACTGATATGCTAGAGAAAAAATGAGCACAACAGAACTCTCTTCCTCTGTACCAAAAAACTTCTCATCCTTAGACATGCCCAGCTCCTGGGTCAGACAGCATTGGACAGTGATATGTTCAGTCCTCTCAAAGTCACTAAAAATGACCAATAGAAAAATATCAACGGATGTTTTAATTTCAAGGGGAAATGAAGAAAGTGGGAAGGACTGTGCTCAACGTTTAAATGCTAATAGCAGAAACCTAAGAATGTTTACCTCTGCTTTAAAAAGATCATGGTTTGTTTCAAGTCTTTGTTTATAAGCCACAAAAGAATGCAGAGAATCAAACAGCTCATGTGTGTACTCACGTGAGTACATCTCCTGCATGTTGCAAGAGGTGAATATTGGCTAAATCTTTACAAAAACATGAAGAAAGCATTTTCAAACTGTGATTTCTAAAGGAGCTTCTACAGCACCTAAACCTGTCAAAAAGCCTTGATTTCCCTTTCAGGAAATTGCTGTGATAATATACTTTAAAGAAAATTTGGAAAAAATCTAAAACTGGCCTCTCAGTTTAGGGCTGCACCATGAGTTCCTAGCAGATAGGCAGCAGATCTTCAAAACCTGTACAGCCACTTATGACCTTGGTTTTGCATTATCACAGAAGTCATGACTTTAAGCCTAAGTTGGAGGCTGACTAGGAAGGATAGAAAGCTATGCAGATACTTGCTTTAGTGTACTGTTTTACTGAGATTTTAATAAAGCAAGACTAGAGAAATTTAACACTATCTCCTTAGGTTTTCAGTTAGAAGTTTCTCTGATAGTGTCTTACATTACAGTATAAATTTGCCTGCAATACCACTGAGACTACCTTATTCCTAAAGCATGGCATGCTGTAATCTTCACAGTTATTCCCATTCTTCAGCTAAAATGTTATTACCATATTCTTTAGAGAACAACATAAAATTAAAGACATTATTAAGCCAAGCTTGTCAGAGGTCCATTAATCTTTGATGTCAGGGGCTGCGTGTAAACCACAAATCAGATTGTTTGAACTTCAAACTTGCTCCACCCAAAGTACTTCAGATGCTTTCACCTAGAACAATTTTTTCCAGTCAGGAATCTTTCTTTTCAGGTATGGTTCAAAGAAATCAGGAAATTGATACACAAGCATAATAGGTGTACTATTAGTTTTCTCTAGGACCTAAACATAACACTTTTTTTTGTGCATGCTTTAACATATCCCAGAATTGAGCATACCAGGATAGGCAAGTCCTATACAAAGATGCTCTATTTACATACAATTAAAATCAAACCCCTGGGAAAAAGCCTGTGTTGGAAACCTTCCACTGATGGGCAATTAAAAGACCACACGACCCGTGACTCTAAGTTACTCAGACATGCTCATGTATGGAATCAATTTCAGGCATAATTAAGTGAAGCACAGTGTTAATGATGACTCATACACCCTAGCAGAACCTTCACTATCATTATAGCCAATAAAGATGTTAATGATCCTGGAATACAAGCCAACAAGTAACTTTCAAAAACTAGTACACAGCCAGATTTGCTCTATCTTATGAACTACCTCTGCCTCAGTGGCAGCTGCATTCAGTGCTTCATGACAAGTACTACAGGAGCAGGAGTCCTGCTCAACACTTCCCTTGGAGAAATGCTGAGCTGTGGGTACCCATCTGGCAGACTGGTTCCTGTGTCCTAAGGATTACCATGTCCCCTACTGTCTCTTCAAAGTCTTTGCTGTTCTAACCCAACAACTTCTGCAACCTCTCAGCTGAATCTGGTTAGCAATCTGGTTTATAAAGTTCTCAGTGTCACTGCAGCCAGTTAAACAACAGTACCTCAAAACAGAAACATTTTAAATTAAGAAACATTAAGAAGAAAAACATATTCCCTTTGCAAAGAAAAAGCTGACTCTCCTTTCAGTCAAATATTTCAGTGTTCCCTTCTGTAAATTCATGCCTTAAACTTTGGGAGTGGGCAAATTTATATTACAGTCAAATCAGTAGGCAAGAAAATAATTCACTGAAGTCACCTTAATTCACTGGCACTGGACTTTGATTTTTCTCAATAGAGTGCTCTATATAATGAAATACCTTCTATCACACTTTGTATTCTTTAAACAGCATAACTGAACACTGAAAAACACAATCACATGTCATGCTTCAGTCCAGCAGACTGTATCTGACATGACTGTTTCTTTCATCCACTGACCAGTATGTGATCCACTCGATCTCGTTTCTTCCGCCCAAATTTAACCATCTTCTGCCAGTCTGTCTTGTGATTGGGCTCCTTCCTCAGGCTGAACAACTTCAGTACTTCAGCTGCAATGAAGCTCTACAAAACAGTAAAGGTGAGATTTATTACATTTGAGTTAAGAAACTAAATGTATGCATAAAGTACACACCTTAATAAGTGACATTACAGAATGCTTAAAAGCTGTTTAGCTAAGAGACATGCAGTCTATGCCAGAAAGTTACAGTGAAAGTCTTAGAGGCAGCACCACACAGGAGGAACAATTATTAAATCCATAAGTGGAGGGAGGGAAAAAAGAAAAAAAAAAAGACACTCACTGCTTCAACAATCTTGAGAACAGGAACTTTCAATTGAACAGTACAGCAAACTGGAGGTTATGACAACTCATTATGGGAGAATATTAAAGAAAAGCAGGGTGGGAGTTTGGTGTCCTTGTCCTGTGTCCCTGCTCTCCCCTGCCACATCCTTTTGAAAGTCTCCTCAATTAACAGTGTGATCTAGATACTATTTCTGTCTTTTCTAAAGAATTTGCAAGCTGTATCTTCAGCAGGTTAAATGAAACACAGACCAAAAAACCCCCCATTTTCAGAAGAAACAGCACAGGTAGAAGTCTTCATTGGTGTCCTGATGAGCTGTATGGAAGGTTCTTTGTTGAAAAACTGAGAGACAGTTTTTCTCCAAATGTCTAGCCCTGCAAGTTAACCTAGGTCCATGTCAGGCTCTAACTTTTTGGGGTTTTATCCCTTCTTGAGCCTTGCCACCAATAATAAGAGACCCACTGTGGCTTGCCAAACACAACAATGCCCTCACCAGTCAGATTTTGCATCCCTCTGGGCAACTCCCACTGCCCTCAGTGGGGCTGGCACAGGTGTGTCTGAGAAAAAAATCCAGCTCGTCCCATTTGGCCCAACCCTACTGTTGGATCCATGCCATCATATCCATACTGAGTTCCACAGAAATCTGCTAAAGCAGCAGTCTGTCAGCATACCAATTTTAAAAGATCAAGGTCACTCTGGCAGTTCTATGCAGAGGACTAGGGTTTAAAAGCAACTGGTACCAGCCAAACAGCCAGAAGGGCAAATCTGTTGAGTGAAAAAGGACCATCTTGACAAACTGCCTTTTAGGTCTGTAATCTCATTTCTTAACTCCTCTCTCTTGCTTGGACACACCTGTCATGATCTTTTAACACTCAGGCAAGTGCTAGTACAATACTTGTCATCTCACTTTCCCAGCATGGCAAAAGATTTCTTCCTACCTTGATTTCATCCAGATCATTTGGATCTTTTACACGGCGAAAGTAAGCAGATGTGATCCTACATGGTTTCATCCAAATAGGCTGATTTAGATTAGGATCCTCAGCAAAGATTTCTCCAAAGATCTCTCTTGTTAAATCAAATACCACCTTAACAAAGAAAGAAGTAAAAGTTCAGGCTGCTGTCCCTCACGGTCAACATTCAAATGGCAAGAACAAAATGAAGACTGTACCTTTTTATAAACCTGCTTGTTTACCGTGTCTGTGTCCTGCTCTTTGAGGGTACTACCAAGATCTGTACGAAGGCTGAAGCTTTGAAGATCATGACCCAGCTCCTTCAGTTTCCAGAGTTGCTCAGCTGCTGCATGCACCATCCCTTCCACCTCCACTGCAGTATGAGGGACTGCCAAAGGTTCCTCACACGGCTTCGTTGGCACTTGCTGTGGTTCTACCTTGGGCAGCACTGCTGTTTCCTCAGCTTGCTTCTGCTGGACCTTCTGGGAACTCAGGCCATAGTCCTCATCAAACCAATCTTGATCATCTCCCAGCACACTCAGGAACTCCCGACTGAGCTCCAGCTCTGCCAGTCTCTTGGCAAGTTCTTCCTGACCACTGGCACCAAACACTGGACTCTCCTGTGAATTAAGTGCCACAGAACAAATATAAAAGTGACATCACAGCTTACATTTTTTAAATGCTCTACTGATGTAATTGGCAATATATGCACAAATACTCAGAAAAATAATAAATAGTCCACAGTAAAATTAGAAATACTTTGATTTAAATACCTGGGGTTTCTAACACTTCAGAGAGTTCCTACAAGGCAAAAGACCACGTGTCCTGTCCACTGTCTGTCCTAATGTTTAACTGTTTTTGAAAGGCTGAGTGGTTTAAAAACCTGACATACAACTTTTCACTTCTCTTCCCTGCAGTCTTAGATCTAAATCAACAGCCTAGAAGCTTGAAGAAGGTGATGGCTGGTTTAGTGACTGAGCAGTGGTCACGCTGGTGCAATGGGCTGTAGCTTTCTGTGCTGACAATATATTGAGATCAATGACAAAGCAGGCAGGTTTATTCCAAGTCCTGTATCTTAACAACCTGTATCCTGATTGTTCTGAGGAAGCTTGAACTTCCACTGCTCATTATATATTAGTTCAGTGGATAGTTTGACACTTTAATGACCTCCAAGTTATTATGCTTGAGGGTGATTCTGTCATATCAAGGGTAGATCGAGGTAAGTTTACAGTCTATTGTATTTTGCTAGTTTTAAAATAAAAAACTGAGGTTAATGATCCAACTGAACATGTAAGCACTTTCATGTGCCAAAATGTGTCTCTCAGTCTGCAGGGCCAGCAAAAACCATGAACTGGGACACACAAGAACACGCATGTAAAAGAAATGCAGACAGGCAATCTCCACATCACGAAATATAAAGGGAGAAAACAAACTGGTGCTACACAGCGTTCCTCAGATTTAATCATCCTCAATCAAGGCAACAATCAGCTCTTAAAATCAGTGCAAGATGTGTGTTACTCACCGGTCTGGGACACATGTCTGGAGAGGAAAGTTCTTCTCTTTCATCTTCCAAATCAGAACTTAGAAAAAAGTTATTCAGTCCATCAGGAATCTGCTTTTCTACCTGATGGGATAGGGTAGCAGACTCCTTCACATCACACAGCTCCTGGTTGCTGAGCTGGATTTTCTCATTCCTGACCTTCTTTATTTGCTGTAACTGATTGACTGTGTCTTTCACAAAATCTCTAAGTAGACTGTCTGTCAGCAAACTGACCTTTTCCAGTTGGTCTTTTGACTTTTCTTCCTCTTTAAGTGGTAGTCTAAGTTGGGCTTCTAACTGGCTCTTTTCTTTTGTCAGCAAATCCAGAAGTGGAGTTGAAGGCTTCTCCACAACTCCAGGTGAGACATCATCTACCTTTTCAGCACACTCTTCCCCTAGTGTCTTCTGTCTCTCCAGTTTTTCAGAATGGAAATCTGAGATGTCATCCAACTGAACAGTGGAAGTCTCATCTACAACACCAGGAATGAGAGGAGAAAGGCTGGTTTCCTCTTTTACAGCATGTTTCAGATAATCCACCACTGACTTGTCTTGGACTAGTGATTCAGCAGCTTCAGAAATCTCCTTCATGCTGTTTGCTTTAGAAGATGACTCCTCATCAACCCTTTCCCCAGCTAAGTCTTCTGAAACAGCTGTGTCTGCAGGAGCTTTATCCTGGGAATAGCTCTCTGTAGCATCTCTGCTCTGGCTTTCCTCCTCTTTGTCAGGTTTGGGACTCCTTCTGTCCTTCTGCTCAGCTTTGTGTTGCTTCTCCAGCGCATCATCAAAGAATGAATCTTCATCCTTACTTGTCTCTAAATGGCTCTCAGTACTTTCTGTAAGGTGGGAAATTTTTTGAGCAGGAGCAAAAATACCATGCTTTTCTTTGCAATCAAAATATTTAACACCATCATAAGCTCCGTTATTATTCCCTTCAGGTTTATCCAACTCCACGCCTGCCCAAAACCCTTTGGCAAACTTAGTCAGACCTTTGAATCTTAATGTTCCAGGTTGGACTTTACTCACAAGTACTCTATCACCAATGTGAAAATTTGGCAAACTATCTTCTTCTTCCTTTGTGACTGAAACAGAGCCCCACAGTGGTGATTCAGGAGGGGACTCTTCCTGCTCCACATCTCTGCGTTCAGTGTTTTTTATAAGTTCTGTTGGGGATTTCAGTTCTAATAACCTCTCGGAGTGGATGCTGCCAGAGAGAGAGAGAGACCTCTCACTGAGGTATTCACTGATTTCATCATCACTGCCAAGGCTGGTGGATCTACTCCTGCTGGTTTGTGTGTGCTGAGAGTGCTCTGTCAGTGACTGAGCATCCCCATTCGGAGAGAGAGGAGATGCTTCAAAGTCATCTTCATAATGTTCCTCAGGGGGTGTTTCTTCAGCTGGTGCTTGTTTTCTGGAGGAGAATCCTTCAAAGTCTTCAATGTATGATGGCTTTTTTTGACTCTTGAATTGTTCTGAAAGCTGATTATCTTTTTCCTCTGCTGATTTGCTCCGTTTGTGAGAAGACTCTTCCACATTTGAGCCAGTTACAGCATCTTCATCTGCTAGTCTCTCTTCTAAGATTTCTTCTGTACCATTAAGACCTTCCAAAGCCAAACCAAAGAGTTCCCTCTGAGAGTGCCCATTTTCAGAATGGAGGACCTCCTTTGGAAGGATGTCCAGTGAGCTCTCCTGTTCTTTATCTAATGTCAACAGGACATCAGAACTCTCTAAAGGCTTAACATGAGAACCTTCAGTCTTGTATTCCTCTGATTTTATGTATTCCAAATCTTCTGGTATCTCAGATTTATAACTGAAGGAAGCCTCATCATTGGATGCATTTACCAGATTGTTCACTGACTCATAGGATATCCTGCTAGTGCCTTTCACATCTTTGAGAAGAGATGATGAGGATACATTATCTGAGAAATCACCACATGCTGCTCTGGAACTCCTCGGTGGCATAGAAGCTCCAGAAAGTTCTCCTGCACGAGAATCTGTCACAGCCACCTCCTTGGAGTGTACAGATCTCTCAGTTCTTGATGACACAGCATCTTGAAGGAAAAGTAAAAGTGAATTACAGCAGATTGTACAGCCTGCATTGTTTTATTGGAAACTGCAACCATAGGAAACAAAATTAATATGAAGGTTCCTGTGCTAAAAAAAGATACAAACTGGTGCCTCAGAAACATATTTCCAGCTGTCCTATGAACATGAGCAACTTTGTTCCAGTTGCAGGGCTCCAAAACTTTATTTTTGATTCTGTTCCTTGTACCAGTATTTCATGATACCATACAACACTGAGCCCAAGGCAAAGGCTCAGCTATTTGTTCACAAGTTGCAAATGCAACCAAGATTAGAATGATAATAATTAGATATTGATCAACAGCAAAACACTAAAAAGGATGTAAAAAAACCCCCACCCTATTCCTAAATTTGTCACTATTTTTGTTTCTTGACATCAATAAAAATAGTAAAAAATATAGTGTGATTACTATGGTTTTATGAAGTCTGCATCCTCCCTTAACCTCTTCTTGAATCAAGAAGGAAAAGACTGAAGAAATTGAAAACAGTCTTCACCTGTAGTACAGATGACTCCAGTTACATACCTCCATGCTCTGAAATGGATTCCAAAGATGCTCTGGATCTCTCTGATTCAGCCAGTGACTTCCAGTTTTTAGTTGTCTCAGGCCTAAATATGAAAAATCAAATTGCATGAATCACAGTTGCACCAGAGTGTCTTGTTTTCTGTTGCCTTTTTTTTTCTAACAGATAAAAAAGGAAATGCAAATATCTATAATTATAATGCCACACCAATGATAACATAAACAGTCTGCTTTGCCAACCTATTGTGACCTTAGAAAACAGGAATGGGGACAGAGAGGAGAGTCTGGCTCATCCTGGAAAGCCATTTTTACAAAGACTAATCAAACTTTAGCTTATTGTGCAGCTAAAATAAATAAATAAATAAATACATAAATACACTTTTTTTTTTTTACTTCAATGCACTAAAATTGCACCATCTGCTGGAGAAAACAAACCACGTACAAATCCAGCTAGTGTGGAAATCAGTTGAATTCTCTACCTTTTAAAACCTGAGATCTAAACCAGATTTCGGTTGCAAAGACGAACTGTTTGCCTTGCACAATGCAGCAGGCATAATGAGTGAGCAAAATGGGAACAAATTCCCTCAGGTCTGTAATTCACACAACCATTTGGGCACAATTCTTGTACAACTGAAAATGATTTTTCAGGAAGAACTTGAAAATAGGACCTGAAAGGCTGGGCCTGACAAAAGTGAGTTGCATACCATTACAAAGACAGTGCATCTTATCTGTACTGGGTCTGATGAGGCCAGGAAATGGGTCAAACAGGACACTGCCACTGTCTGGTGCTTTGAGGAAGAGCAGTTACCAGCTTTCCTTGCACTCAGGGTTTCTGGTAAAATGGCATTTGCTGCAGTTTCAGATTTATCTCAAACAGAAGAAATCCCATTTACCTCTGGAGTGGTGGTGCCTTGATCTTTGGTTTTTCAACAGCAGCTGAGGATGGAGTTTTAATCTGAGGTTTGGCTGTTGGTGATGCCTCCAGGTCTTGGCTCAGTTCTGCCTCAGTCTTCTTGATAAACTCATCATATGACTGCATATGGAAAACAGTTACATCTGTTAGCCTATGAAACCATAACTACAAAGCATGACTACTATTACATTAATAAGGATACACTCCATTTATCTGTAAAATAATCTAACTTCCCCAAGCTCTACAGTTGTGAATCCTAGAAATTTTACTACTTCACTTTCAAAAACAAATTACACCAGCACCTCTAACCCAAGCTAGGATAAGTATGTGCATAAACACACATAGGCCCCCTGAACACTGCTGGTAACCCAATTAAGATACACAGTTTTAAAGGGATGGCATTTTTGCCTCAAGGTTCTGGTTCATCCTTGAAAACAGTTCAACAGCCAGAACACAGTCACGCCTCTAACACATTAATGTGTATTTCACAGCTGTTGACACAACATTCTGTCAACAACACCCATACTATAATGATGTACCCAAGGCTAACAAACTTTTACTTCACCCTTCTTCCTACTAGATTCCTAACCTCCAGTTGTTTGATCAAACTGGCTTCCTGGGCCTTCAGCCTCTCCTTTTGTCTCTTTTTCTGCTCCTTTTTCAGCTGGTAAACCACAGACTTCCTTTTCCGTAGCTCATCCTTCAGGGCTCTGATCCGTCCTTCAATGTCACTTTGATCAGATGTGGTTTCTGAAAAACAGTCTGGTTTTAGTCTTTTGTAAGCTTGCACCTCACAAAACAGTTCTACACAAAGCAATGAGCAGTCATTTAGTAAAAACAAGCAAAATACCAAATAATTTAATGCCAACACATTAATCTCAACACGGTAAGATTCTTAAAGGGGGATCTCAGAGTCACAATGCCAACATGGTAAGATTCTTAAAGGGGGATCTCAGAGTCACAACACTACTACATAACATTAAAAAGTGTTGCATCTTGTTTAATTCAGAAGGGAAAGGCTCTGACACATACAATAACTTGCTACCAAACTCCCTCAGGCTGACCATCCATGTTTATGCTGCTTCCTCAATCATGTAACCAGCCTATCACGTCAGCTGCTGCAGATAGTAACTTTTTTCTGACATATTTTCAAATATGACATCTCAAAGTTGTGTGCCAAAAATGCATCCGAAATATTTGTTTACAATCACAATAAACAGTTTTTCAAGCTATAGGGTACACTTAATTGATGAGAATTTAACTTGAAACAGTGGACTCCAAAAAAAGTTTAGGCCAGTTCACATTTCTTGCCACACAGACTAAAGACAATGGAGAGCTGGCTGGCCAACAGTTGGAAGGGAAGTTAATGTGAACAGTGCAGAGATTTTGCACTGTTGTCAGACCTCTGGATGACCATTTATTCAGGGTGAATGGGACTAGTGTTAAGCTTAGACATGTGGGGGACTACTCAATAATAGCTTATACAAAAATACTTGGCACATCTTTGCTCCAAGTTCAATTTTACAGACCTTCCTATGATGCCAAAGGAAGCTATTTTCTACCTGAATAATTTTTTTCTTAACCAGAATCCTTAGTCATTTTAGTAAGATCTCCTCCCTCTCCATCCCCAGAACTCCCTGCAACCTGGTCTCTCATTCCTTCTGATGACGTTTTACCACTTTTCCCTTGGGACACTGTCCCCTGCTACTTAGATCCACCCATTCTAGCAGTAAACTCTGCTACTTTCATTATTTCTGCTGTAACAACCTCTTAGTCTCTCAGACTTTAAAGAGAGACTGCCTCAGTGTCTCATTACTTATTCTTTTCCACCCATCTGATAATGTTTTAAATGGAAATCAACATAATGCCAAAGAGCATCCTTGGCCCAGAGTGGTGCTACCACAATTAACTATTAAAAACCCTTCAAAAGATTTCTCTGACCCAGCCTTACTGGAGGTCCTCCCTGCAGCTGATGACCAGCTTCCTTTTCTATAACAGCAGCTGTAGGTCCTAAGAGAAGGATCCTAGCTGGTTTGCTTCATGTTCAATATTACCTATAATGTTTTCTGGACCAAAAGGCTTGGATGCTCATGAATGCCAGTTGCTTTACTGAACATCCTAGAAAGTAACCCACCAACATCAGTTGGTCCACGAGCAGCAGAAGTAGGACATTTTGCTAATCAATCTCATTTCTCCAGAAAACAAACCATCATCATGAAGGATTTCATCACCATCAACAGCCAGTAAATGCAATCAAGTCACTGTATTCTTTTTGCATTAACAACTGTTGTTAACCATTTGGAGAATTTAGAAAATAAACAGCACAAAAAGAATGGAATCGCACTCGTTAATCAACAGTACTTTATGATGCCACTGTAATTAACAACTCCTCCCAAAGAGTGAGTGACCACTATGTAATTATAGCTTTTCTTGATCAACTCATAAGGGAAAGATCTGCACATGCTTTGACGAACTTGTCTATGCATGCATTGGACTGACACAGGAATGACTTCATCACTACTCAGGGGCTTGGCTGATTTGTCTCTGTACAATGGAATGATTTGTTATGAAACCAGCACCATCCTGATCAACTTCCCACCTCCTACACCTTTCTTCAGCATTTGAAATCAAAGACTGCAAATACTTCATTTTTTAAAACTTTATTTTCATGATCACTGTTTCCTGCTCTGCTTCTCAAAATGGCTTTTTTTTGGTGTGGTTTCTCAATCACAGCTTGAAAATACCTTTATCAAGTTGCTGAATGCTTCACTGTGTTGCAAGCTGCCCTCCAGACAGAAATCCCAACACAAATTACTCAGGGCAAATATCTAGGTGTTACGTATTCATTTCTCTATTCAGCAGAAGAGCTGCCTCAAAATTACTGTGTTTCTATTGCACTTAAGAGACATATTAACAAAAAAAACCCCACAAAACCCCGACATAAAAGATTATGCTCAATACATTAAGCACCAAGAAGACTGGATACTTACACACACCAGTAAGTTATCCATCAATCAAACCACCAACAGAACCACTTAAAGCCTTTTTCCACTAAAAACCTATTGATCATTTAGAGAATTAAAAAAAAACAAAACACAAACCAAAACCCAAACAAAAAAATACAAGCAAGGAAATGCTCTCTCATTTGCTAACCTTGTGATGCTTTATCAACAGAACTGTGGAATATGAGATGGTTTAGAGACTAAAAGCACAAAAAGGTCCAAAACAGACTTCACAACTCAAGAGAACATATGATGGTGACCTAGTGAATGGTGTCTCAGGAAGTCCTGCAATCCCCATGACTAACAGATTGAGAGCACACCAGGGAAAGGACCAGTTTGTACCCGTTCACTTCTAACATTCTCTCCCTCAGCATTAGGATAAGTGGACACAAGACCTGTGATAAAGAGTCCATTAGTAGACTCTGCATTTTATAGCTCAAAATGCAATCTTAAGCCTTTTTTTACTACAGATAGTTCAAACACTCCTCTAAAAATAAAAACCTATGCCCCACTGTATCTGTTCTCTCTGCAGGTCCAAAGGGCTCACTGGTACTGCCATGATGACAGATCTGCAGCTTCTGGAGCCAGACTGTGCTCAGAATGAGAATGAGCATGTTCATATGCTACTGAACCACATTTTGCTTTCTTACAGTATGAGTGGTGGAGAAGTATCATCTGTTAAAAGCACAGATAACCTTGGCAATTTTAAATTCTAGAACTACCCTAACTATTGACTCCTTTCTTCATACCCATTCTCAGGAACTTGCATTGCTTTCTAAAAGAAGAGATTATATACAGACCTTACACAAAGACCTTCTGAAGTGATCAATTACCTCATGGAAAAACACTCCCACGGAACTCCAAACCTTGGCAGTTTCCAAGAATTTCTGTCTGTCTCCTCATATCTATGCATTTTAGGTTTACTTGTAGTAAGTAAACACTTTGAAAAAGCAATTTAAACCCAAGTAGATTTTACACTTACCTGACTGTGTTATAGATAAAGATTCATCAGACCAGTTGTGAGATATCTGATGAGACTGCACATGTGAACGTAGCTGTCCTCCAGTTCTCTGGCTGCCTTTGCTGGAATCTTGCTTTGATACAGATATGCTGCTTTTAGAAGGAGACTTTGGGAGAAGAAAAGGACAAATAAGTAATTGCTTGTAAAGCTCAGTTTAGAAGTAGGAGATCATTGTCATCAGGAGCTAGTAACAAAGGAAAGAACTAGAGAAGATCTTCTAAGCAGTGATAACTATCCAGCTATCTTAAGAAAAATTTCATCTTGGTTTGGTACACAATAAAATAAAAATACCAAGAGCAGCAATAGCTGACTGCTTACTCTGAGCAGTAAACCTGCTTAGACTACTCTGTTACCACCTAAGTGAACTGACATGGTTCTGACTCACAGGTGTTCAATACAGTTTTTGTCATCTTATTTGGCAACAAACACTGCAAAAGAAACTCCTAGTAAATATATCTGTGAAACCAAAGGGACCATTTCATGTAAGCAGTGCAAGATCCCATTCTATATCAGTAAAACAACAGAGCACTATTGCTCTGAGGCCAGAGGGAAAATGCAAAGAGCAAATATTCTTTCCCAAACGCTCTTACTGCTGAAACATATACCACAGCTGTTTCACCTTGACTGTAACCCCTAACATGTATTAGACATTTTACCTCACTATCTTCTCAACATACTTTCCTATAAAGTATTTGTAGTAAATCTAGATGAGTTCTTCTACCCCACAGATGCTGCATTTTCTGTCTCACTGAGCACAGGGCGAAGTTAACAGGATGAAGTTTATTTCTACATGATAATAGATTTGATTTTTTTTTAAAGTTTGATTTTTGATAACAGTTGGAATAGAACAGTAAGGCAGAATTAGCTAGCACATACACATAACCTGAAACCCAAAGGATTGTACATGAGGTTACAGCTTTGCTTCTTCATCCTATAGCTATATTTTGGAATACATTACTTGCAAGTAAAGCAAAGCAAGAAGCCAGGATAGTTTCCATGGTCTCAAAGAATGTACAAAATGGTGACAAGCTAGCCTACAGCTATTTCACACTGGTAAACTGGGTCAGTGTTCCACCACTTCATATTGCATACCAACATGGCATACACAAAACCTTTTGCAAGACTACCCACAAATTTAAAAATACCTAAACCCAGTGCTGAAGCAGTTCTCCCTCAAGGCTTCAAAGAACATATCTGATCAGTGTTTATTCACAGCAATGTAAAATGGTATTGCAAACAAAGAGGATAGTTTAATCTCTGCTGTGGCAACTGGGATGGCTCTACTTGCCACTTCTCTGACAGCCTTTTCCAAGTGTTAAGAATAATACAGCATAAAAAGCTCACTCACAAGTTTGCCAGGTGAGGCAGAGGACTTGAACTCTTCAGAATAAACCATTTCTTCATTAATTGTACTCTGATCTGGGCTTCCTGGCTGTCCATGGCCCATAGTCGCTGAAGGGACAGACTCAGCAGCTACACTGCCAAGATCTTCTGGGATAGAGCTTTCACTGTTCAGATGAGAATTAGAAGGCACTGGAAACTCTTCTTCACTAACCGTTTCTGAGATTCAACAATGAGAGAAAAAACAAAGCACCTAAGAACTTGCAATGATTTGTAGGCCTTCATATAAAGCAGTAATTGCTACCAATACATGTCAAACTGGTGTTATTTCACTCATCTAGACACTGAGGGTGGAATATTTAGGGAGAACAATCACGTTTACCACATAACTATGATCTAAAACTGCCAGATTTTCTTGGTGATCACTGAATGTCTAAAATAAAGAGGTTTTCAGAACATCCTAACATTTCCCAGACAAGACAATCCAAGAAAATTATTAGGGAAACCTGTCCTTCCAGTTGACCATACCCCAGTAAGAGTCATTATTAGTCTGAAGAAGTCATAGAGGAGCATATAATCTGCAAGCCAGATCTTGAATTTAGAATTGATTGCTTCCTTTACAGTAGCTGCAGAAAACATTTTAATGTTATGATTTCATCATGAGTCTCTCAAGTGGCAACAAGTAAAATAGTAAGTTGGGTTTTCACTATTCCTGTTTACTAAATTCCGCAGGAGTCACAATGTTACTGAAGCAGCCACGGAGAATTATTCCATATTTGAAGAAAGGCTGGAAGAGGAACTTCTCCTTCTAAAGCAGAGCTGTGCTCCAGTGCTTACTGTTAGATACAATTAATAGAAAGTAAGCATTTTTTTCTCATCTGTTGATGAGGATTCAGCATTCACACTGAATTTTTGTTCACTGGAACTTACTGACTCATACATGTATCATCTTTAAAATGCCTTACCAATGCCTAAAATCCACATGACTGTTTCCAGTAACAAGTGTAATAGGGTGTAATTCTGAATTCCCTTTGCACACTCAAAGGATGTGCTGCCTGCTTTCAACCAAGGGGGGGAAAAATGAGAATTTATTATTTCTGGAACAATCCCTGAAGTTTTGTTATTTTCTCCCACTGCAATCCAGTTTTCTGTGCTTCAGGCTGAAAGTATGGTCCACTTAAGACAGAACAGTGTAGCTGTAGCTCCCTGTATCTGGGAACTTATTTTTCCTCACAATAGCATCATTTATACTAATTACATCCTAGCACACTTTAGCACAGTTGCAGATTTCACACAGTTACATTTCACTAACAACAGAAGAAAAGAATGTTTTCAATTTTTTAAAAACACAGACAAGAGGAAAGCAGCCCTTGATAAGAGCCATCCATAGCAAGAGTAATAAGGCTAACAGGATAGACACTTTTGAGCACTATAGGGGAAAGTAGTTTTAACAGAGTAAGCTCTGAAGATCATCAGTAAAAGATGATGCAGTATTTTTGTTCTGAAGGACAGAAATATAGTTTCAATTGTACGTAGAGATGTCTGATGGGCCTGTGATGCACTGTTCACTTGAAACATATACAACAAAGGAGGAATACACATTTAACTAAGGTGTAAAACAGGGCTAAAAGAACAAGGCAACATAAGCCAGTAAAAAGTGCAGAAGCAGAGATTCTGAGAGTGTCCAGGGAAGAACAATCACCACCAAAATGTTACAAAAAGAAGCAAGTGCAAATCTAAGGAATCGCTCTGTTAAATTATGCTTTACTCTTGTCTTTTGTATCACTTCCCCTCCTGTTACCTTTGGGCTCAGTTCTCTGATCCCCCAGCTCCTTCTTGGCTGTTTTGGTTTTGAGCAGCTCTTTGTCCCAGGCAGCTAGTGCCTGCTTTTCTATCCACCGAATCTCTGCTTCCTCTGCATCCAGGCGGCGTTTCCACTGCAGCAGCTCTTCAGCGTGTTGTCGGCGCTGCATCAGCTTCTGCTCTCTCTTAGTTAGGAACCTGACAGGCAGAGCAGAAGACAATGGGAGAACAGCCTCTACCCAGAAAGTCTACTGCCACAATTCCCAGAATCATTGCTGTCCAATTGTTTTTGAGGATAATAACCACACTAACTGCTATCACCTAGATTTCTGAAGTGCTGCTGAAAAAAAATGCAAATAGAGGTCTTTTTTCATTGCAGTAAGTGAAGTCTACAACACACTGTAAACACACTGCCTACATTTTAAACATCTTCAGCATCACTACAGGTGCTACTAAGTATTCACTGAAATGAGCAGGATAAATTCCCAATTTCAGGATATGAAAAGTACCTGTGGTATTAAACTGGAACCCTCAGGAAAGCAGTGACTGTTTGAAAAATGAACCTTCCTTTTCTCTAATCCCAACAATAGAAAAATTGTAACCCTAGTTGCTCACATTCTTTCCAAATAACATCATTATAAGAGAAGGTGATTCTGCATCAATAGTTTTCCTGAATCTCTGGAGCTTCTATCCTTCTTCCTTTAAGCTTCATCTCTATGGATGGATGGCCACACTTGGAAAGTTAATTGTGAGCCGACAGCATCAAGAGAATAGGATGCAGGACTGTTTTTTCTTATCTACTAACATATTTGGCTGCTAGCTTAAGAAAGGATAAAAAGTAAAGCTTATCCTAAGAATTAGCAGGTATTTTCTCACTGACAAAGATTTCTTGGGTGATCCACAAAACGTCAGAAATGAGAAAATTCTTATAAACTTTGTAGGTATGAAGAGGTTTGTGTGCATATACTAGTTCTCTTTGCCAGCTCTTGAACAACAGCACCTCTGGTCTTATTAAACACTGAAGTAACCAAGACTGTAGCATTTAACCTAAAAGAGTAAATGGAAGCAAGTTCAACATAGATTGCACACACTTCCTCTGACATGCCAGGTCTAGAGAAGAGTGTATATCAATCCATTCATCTCCTAAACTGACATTTTTCAGATGTCACAGAATCACTCTGTAGAAAATACAAGGTTTGCCAGCTTGAGTTGGTACAGAAGACGTGGTGCCTAAAAACAGTCTTCCAAGTCTTCTGATACTTTGCTTTGCAAATGTCTTTATCACTTCTAATTCTCAAGCCACCCCAAACACTTAGCATTGAAGTTTTTAAGCTGCAAAGAAGGTAATTTCGTTTTTCATTTTAATCTCCTGTGTTGGAAAACATCCTTTTATTTACAGAGACTGGCATGACAAAGTAGCTAATCTGCAGGTCTTAGCACTTGGTCACTTAGCGTCCACTCTGTTCCCTGGAAAAGTGAGCTGGCAATTGATCAGAAAGGATAAGATTCAGGTAAGTCCTTATCTAGGACAGATTAAGATAAGGTGGACAAGTTAGGATGCAAAGAAAAAAGTTTCAGAAGCCAGTAAGATGCACCCACAATCTTCCTTCCCATGGCCAACACAAGAGCAGATGAAAAAAAAAGAAGCACCTCAAGAGTCTCCAAAACACTTTCCACCTACAAGCTAAAGGATCCCATGATTTTGTGCATCATTTTATCACTGTCTAGATACAAACATCATTTACTGTTAGGCAAAATCAACAGGTCAATATAATTCAGAAATAGTCCACCAACAGTAACTGCATTACAAACATGACACAGACAATGTGATGCATTTGCCAACAGAGCAGATTATCAACTCTTATTTTCAGATACACATCAGTTCCAATTAGTCTAGCAGATTGTGTATTTGGAACTTGTTATGGAGGTTATTATTACAATAATCTCAATGCAAAAGGCAACTTTTTCTTCTTCTTTCACTCACTGTTTGATTTCATCAGAATCTGGATCTTCCCATTACTGAACCTTGAGGGAGGCAAGTCCAGTTGAAATAAAATGCAAGAGAAAGCCTGAAATAAATGGATTCAAAAGAGCAGGACTCCTTAAAAGCAGATGTCAAACAAATTAACCTGATGACCATGAAACTAATAAGAAAGATAAGTCAAAAGAAGTGATGAGAGAGAGAGGGTTCCAACATTGAGCCTATAGGAAGAGGAGGATTAAAGCAGCATGGCTAAAGATGCAGACCCTTTTATAACCCTGAGGTTTAAAAGATCAGAGCCACAGGGTAGCATATATCCTGCCAGTCCAGAGGGTTCCAGTTGCAACACCAAGAGTACACATTTAGTCTCAAATGCAGGGGCACCTTCACAGAAAAAAAAACAGGCAAAACCACATCTGGTATCTATGAAGCTGGAAATCTGGGGGAGCAAAGAAGGAAGCAGCAGCACTCAGAATACACCTGCATCATTTCAAAATCTAACTATTTCTCTGGTGCTAACATCACACATTTTATCCATGCATTCCAAGTATTAACCTGGAAGCATTAACCAGCTGCTCTAATCTGTACTGGTAAATTTATGTCCCAGGTATACTGGCTTTAAGTCCAAACTAGACAGTTTGTTTTGGCAGCTACCTTGAAGTAGTGACCATACAGTGGAAGCAAAGTGAACTGTCTGTCTGCCACTCAGAACATGGCGGGAAGAAGAGATTAGAATCACACAATGGTTTGGGTGGAAAGGGACCCTAAAGATCATCTAGTTCCAACCCTCTTGTCATGGGCAGGGACACCTCCCACTAGATCAGGTTGCTCCAAGCCCCATCCAACCTGGCCTGGAACACTTCAGGGATGGGGCAGCCACAGCTTCCCTGGGCAACCTTGGCCAGTGTTTCACCACCCTCATAAGAAAAATGTCTTCCTTGTATTGAATCTAGATCTACACTCTCTTAGTCTAAAACCATTACCCCTTGTCCTATCACTACAGGCCTTGGTAAAACAGCTCTCAGTTTTCGTATAAGCCCACTTTATACATTTAGAAGATACAATAAGGTCTCCCTGGAGCCTTCTCTTGCCTGGGCTGAACAACCCCAACTCTCTCAGCCTGTCCTCATATAAGAGGTGTTCCAGTCCTCTGGTCACTTTTGTGGCCTCCTCTAGACCCACTCCAACAGGTCCTACTCACACTGAGGACCCCAGAGCTGGACACAGTACTCCAGATGGACTTTTAGGATAGCAGAGTAGAGGGGGAGGCATCACCTCCCTTGGCTTGCTGGCCATGCTGCTTTTTATGCAGCCCAAGATATGGCTGGCTTTCTAGGCTGCAAGTGCACATTGTCAGCTCATATCCCATTTTTTGCCCACCAGCATCCCCAAACCCTTCTCTGCAGGGCTGCTCTCAGTCTACAGATACTAGGGATTGCCCTGATCCAGGAGCAGGACCCTGCATTTGGTCTTGTTGACCTTCATGATGTTTACACTGACTCACTGCTCAAAGCCTGTCAAGGTGTCCCTGGATGGCATTCCTTCCCTCTAGAGAATCAACTACACCACACAGCTTGGTGTCATCTGCCACCCACTCCCACTGCCTACAACATTAATAAAGATCTGGAAACAGTGAGGGAAGTCTCAAAAATGGTCACTGATGGAGAACTTCTTGACTTTCTAGGACTGAACAGAGCATGCTCTATCAAAGAGTCTATCACTTGAGAAAGATACAGTTACCTGACCAATTGGTTGTAGATATACAGCTGGAATTTGGGGTGGAGGTTGGGAAAACAGACACTGAGAGAGGCCCAGTGGTGAGACGTAAAGACAGAGAAGAAGTAGTGAACAGGAGAGCAGTGTCTACAAAATAAGGAGGAAGAGTTTAAAACTAAGGTAGCAAAACAGACAGAAAGAACGAGAAAAGGAGAGCATCTAGCAAAGAACCTTCAAATTAATGGCATTTAACATTGTATAGTTATTATGCAACATCTTAAACAGACAAACTATACACTGTTAAGCAGAATGTAATAGAACACACACTTTTAACACTTCATTTTCTGTTAATTAAAGGCAAGCTGCTTTCACACTGCTATATTTTTCTTCAGATTTTGGAAGGAGTTTCATTACTTGGATGCAGACTTCCACATGTGCTGGTTAACACAACCTGCTCATTTTGCAACTCCTGCTATTTTAACTGTTGATGGAGTAAACTGTTAGCATTAAATAGCACCTGGCTCTGCAATATGAACAACTTTGCAAGTCTGAAACTTTATAAATACATTTTCATTCACTTGGCAAAACCTCAGTAGAATTACTTCTCTGAAGGTAAGCACCAGTGAAAGAGCAAAAATAAGAGATTCAATAATTTATTTTTTTAAACATAACCAATTCCAAGAAAAGTCTGAGATATATCTATAAATCAACTTCTAGTTTGTTGGGGTTTTTTGCAACTAAGTGCAGTGCAGACTTGGTCTCAGAATATGCACATATTGCCTCTTTCATTTGAAGTACTAATTGATAGATATCAGATAATGGCCATTGTTCAAAAAATAACTCTACACAAACTTACACCTGTGCTTAAAATGGTATTTTCTAATGAATTACCATTTCAAGCTAATTCCTAATGAAATATCATATTTATAGAAAAAATATCATGCTCTGTTGTAGCTCTCTTGACTACAATGCAAGCTAAGAAGCATATTAAGGAAAAGCAAAAGAAAATGAGCATTTAAGCAGCTCTTCTACTGCGAAGGTTATTAAAGTTGCATAAGCAAGGGGAAGTGGTTAATTCTCTTTGACAGAGCATGCTCCTGTTCACATGCAGGCTACACAGACTCATCAATTCAAATTAAAACACAACTATTCTTTCACTCCCCTTTTAGCAGAAGAGAAATATTAAAGCTGCCTCATAAGTAAGGAAGTCAAAGGATTTCCGCCTTGCTGTGGAGTACAGCAAATCCAGCACAGCAGAATTCCCCAATTCCTTCCTCTAGTTCCTTTATACTTTGCTTGTTATTCAGCTTCTTTCCTTTTGCCACATCTCATCACCTGACCACAACCTGCCTTCAAATGGCAACTTCTTATCATTGCACTCCAAACCAAATGTCTTACTCTGTTACGTCGATAACATTCTTAGGTGTTTTACAAATACAACATTAAAATAAGGACATTTAAAAAAAGATTCCAAGTCAGCACTGTTTTCCAATCAATAGGCACTACTATCACTACAAAAATACCTGCAAAAGGTGTGTGAAAGCTATACAGTTAGGAAGATCAAGTTCTAGAGCATCATTTGTGCTTACACAAAATCCTACTTCCTTTCAACATATATAGCAATCTAAGACAAAACCAGAAAAACAAAAATACATGACCACATACATTACATCACAATTTCCACTTGTTCTGCCTAAAAGCAACTGTTTCAGCTCAAATCCTGCTATCCCTCTTTTGAAAAGTATTCTCCAAGTGAGCAATATTTGGACTGATTATTAAAATATCTCTAAGGGTAGAACATACTTTGTATCTACTACTGTCCCTTATTAATTATATGTAATTCTCTCTGCAATTTTAAGTGTTGCTTAGAATTTAAAACCATTACCTGATAAAAGTGGCAAAGGAAGTTTTGAATATAAAAGTGTATTTGTCATCTCATAGTACTAATACTGTATTAATACTGTATCTGAAAATTCATAAGCTGTAACTTGGTTTTGTATCTCCAGTTGAAATTTTTTTATGTTGAATCCCATGTGGGGAAAAGAAAAAACCCAAGACTCCCTTTTTAGCAAAAAAAGAAGAAAGATTAGAATAAAAATTGTTCTCCTGATACTTGAAATTAACAGGACCTGTAGAGAGCATATCCTTTTCAAGTCCCCATCTTAAGCCATTTACCAACCTCAAAATATGCTTTGCTTAAGAGTTGCTGCTATAATGATGGGGTAATTTTCACATGACTTGGAATGCCAAGAATTTAGTTTTGGAAATATGACACTTCAGAAACTATAAATAATTATCATTTCGGTTGTTCAGTTTACCAGATCCTGCCAGAAGAGTCTGAACAAAACAGCAATCAATTCAGGCTAAACCATGAAGCCTACATTATGTAGAACATGGGCTTGTTTTTTTTTTCCTACTTAGACCAAATCCTCACTTACTACTACTGTGAAAACAGGGTGCTAAGGAGTCATCACCAGTTTGCCTTTACCTATGGCAGTGCTTGCTTTTTGATGTTTTATCCAGCTGTGTTAGGAGTCCCAAGAGTAAAAACATTAAAAGGACCATCCACATAGACTAAAATATAGTGACCTGTCTTGGTTAGAAGTTAAAAAGATGTTCACACAATGGTTGTTTTTTTTGTGGTAACTGGCAGAGGCCAGACTTGCAGTGGATTAGTCTCAAACAAGAATTTTTGGCTTCAAACTAAAGAGCAAACGTTGACAAAGCATTTAGGATGTTTAGTGCTGGCAAAGCAATTTCTACACTGAAAAGACACAGAAATAATTTTTATTCAAAACAATTTATTAGATGAAATCAATAGAATCAATCTTAGTTTCCAGGCTCTGGAACTGTGCTTATCCTTCATTATTTTCTCTGAAGACTAACAATCTTTTTCAAATTTTTTCCAACCTGTGGACCATCAAAGAGGAAAAGAAAGGTCCTATTAATTGCCTTTCTTCTCAGTCACACATAGCACCTCCATTAATTAAGGAAACAATTGCAGAATTAATCCCTAGCTGATTTGAATGGAACTGAAATTCAGCAGCTGGATATGAAAGTAGAAAGCACATACCTGACAAACTCAATAACCTTCTGTGAGTCGGATCTCAAACTCAGTTACTAGTTTTTGTTTAAGACTATTGCTATTTATAACTTAGGCTTCAACTCAAGATAAAACTCAGTATTGTAATTCCAGAGTCTCACTCCCTGTATTTTTTTTCCTTTAAAATAAAAGGGGAGATACAAAATACAGGCACTGTTTTGTCCATTTGACTTCAGGTCTCTCATTGAGAGAGGAACTCTGACAAAATGTACCATCAAGTGGGAGCCTGTCTTCCTTGTATTCTTGTATAATCATCAAAATCTTTTAAACTGATGTGCTTTTACCAGCTCTATCAAGTACAAAGTATCTATCAAGTACAAAACCCATCTTCTACAATCAAACCATGACAACAGTCTCCCAGCTAACAATGTTTGAATCTCAGTATTCATGCAAGAACTTTCAAATAGCCTTTCAAATATTCTATTCATGATTAATCTAGTTCTATTAATGCTTCCAATTAACTACTTTTCAGGCAACTCAGATTTAAGCATATGTGATGCCATGACCTCTAATTTGTCTGATGGCCATTTTTAGTGCAGATATTGACCCAATCAACTCATTTGATTAAAATAGCAAAACTTCTATATAAGAAAATAAATATAGTTACTTTTCATCCATTCTGCTGCGCATTTTTTTAAGTTTCTGCATAATGCTACTGGTCTCACTGCTGGAGATGGAGACTGGAGAAGGGCTGCATGTTTCTGCATCAGTTGGAAGTGGGCTAGAAGCATTGCTCTGCTTGATGTCATCCTCACTGTGAAGTTCCTGCAATTAAGGATTTAAAAACAAAAGCGACATGAAAAGTCAGAAAAGTTCTTCGACAAAATTTAAAAAAATGGTGTTAATTTAGTTTATTTCTCCCCAGATTACATCAAACACTACTTCAGATAAACCTGGCCACCTGCAGATGTAACTTCAATTTCCAGCTTAATGTTTATTTGACACAGTTTTTAAGTCCAACATTTTTTCCTCTGTAATTTAAGTTCTCCCCTAACTGCATGTAGAACAAAAGAAAACATCACTAGAATTTTAGTTACCCAAACAGGAAACCAATCCCTTCTACATGACTAATATTAAACTTGTGTCTCCTCAAAATTTTGCAAGGAGGCAGACAGTTACCAAAATCCCTTCCTGCTGTCTCCTAAAGCAGATGCAAGAAACTCAGTGTAATAGCAGACAGTTACCAAAATCCCTTCCTAAAGCAGATGCAAGAAACTCAGTGTAATGACACTATCACACACACAAAGCAGTAAGTTTTGAGTTTAGTTCTAACATTTAGTATTTTGGGGTCTGGAAACTCATCAAACAAAACCAGAGCCTGAGAAATCTAAGCATCAGAGATCCTGATATTCCCCATGTCATTAGTTAAGCTTGGAAATGAACACCATTGACTGCCCAGTTAAAGCAAAGCATTCCAAACTTCTCCAAATGCTTTTCCTTAAGCAAAACTTCAAGGAAATTAAACAAGAAGTTTTGGAGATAAAAAGGATAAAACTGAGGCAGACAAAACTTCCATAGGTTCAATCTAGCAACTTTCCGTTCCTATAAATGCCAAAGTCAAATACCAGCTGCACAGCCAAAGAGGGAACTCCAACTTCTGTACTGAACACTTACCAGCTTGTTTTCTCCTGCAGACTTTAGTTTTTCCTGCAGTTTCATTGTAGTCTGACGGATCCGTTCTATTTCCTCCTGCTGCTTCAGGATCAGCTGCCTCTCCTTCCGAGCAGCCTTGTTGGCCTCTTGAAGACGCTTAATTTCTGCCTGTTAGGTATAAAAGGTTAAGCTTAAGAACTGTGGCAGGCAGTTTTCAAGAACACACTCTGAAGCTGCCAGTGTCCTTGCTATGGGTTTTAAATTGCTGCAATTACCTGATGAAGTAACTATCCTGAACTTCAGCAGCAAAAACCAGAAGATCAATTAATACTTCTAAGTCTCAACCAGCAAGGTGACTGATACAGAAGGACCCTTTAAAACAATGTGTTAAATACTACAGAAATGCAAATAAAACTTAGCAATAATAAATACTGCCAGCTTCCTACCCAAAAGCCTGGTGTGGAGTTTTTCCTCAATTCTTAGTTACCTTTTCCTGCTGTAATCTCAGCAGCAGACCACGCTGCCTCTTCCGAATAGGAGGCATCTTATCATCCTCTCCCTTGTCTCGCAAATGCCTGCAAAGAGATTGGAAGAAAGAATTCATTTAGAAAAAAAGTGAACAACAATGGGCCTTTTACTCTTTCAAGTAAATAAGTAAATAAATAAATTTACTTTTCCTAACCTGCTGAAGAGTCTATGACTGTACTTTACCACTGGCATGATCTATAGTGGAATATTTTGTACCATTTAGTCAGACACGCACGGTTGGTTAAAAGGCCAGTGCAGGTAACACCAGGTCTCCCATGAATGGGCAGATGTTCTGCAGAGGTAGCATGCTCACCATTTGAGAAAGACAAAAGGAAGGACACTTGGATCACTACCTCACAATCCTTCATCAAGCCCATAATGACAAGAAATTGGAAGAAAATGTCTGGTGAACACTGGTACTCTCATGCAGAGAGTGACCACAGAAAAATACTGATTAAATCTGGTCACTGCTGTTCAGTAGGTATCACTAGGTACAGAATCATGGAATGGTTTGAGTTGGAAGGGACCTTAAAGATGATCTAGTTCCAACCATGGGCAGGGACACCTCCCACTAGATCAGGTTGTTCAGAGCCTCATCCAACCTGATCTTGAACACTTCCAAGGATGGGGCTTCCACAACTTTCCTGGGCAACCTGTTCCAGTGTCTCACCACCCTCACACTAAAGAATTTTCTCCTAATGTCTTCTCCCTTCTCCCAGTTCTAATCCATTACCCCATGTCCTATCACTACAAGGTACTTCAATAATCTTACAAAAAATTCAAGTAGAAGTACACAAAAATGGTCAGTCAGCACCAGTGGTGCATTCAAGAGCTGCCTTACTTCTTCTGGTGTTCCAGCCAAGCTAATTCAGCCTTGGTCTTCTCTTTCAGAGCCTTCTCCCGGAGCCGAAGCAGTGAGGACTGATGAGCTGCTCGTACTTCCTCCTCTTTCATGTACTGTCTTACCATCTCCATGGTGAATTTAGAGAAACTATCTTGCCCTTCTGAGAACGGCATGCTTAGCTCCTAGAAGGCAAAATAAATTTGGCATGATTTGATTAATACAGAAATTCCAAGACTTTCTCAATTACAAAGGGTGTGTTTGTGTATACACAGATAGACAGACACACACAGGAAGGGAAGCTGTTGTGCTTTTTTTTCTCTCTGAGCCTTGTGCAGACCAGCTTTTTCTGCCCTGAGCTCTGTGATAGTTTTTTTGGGATGTCCAGTCTTGGGCCAGAGAGATGGAGCATCCTCTTGTACTTCCTAGCTATGTGTAGGCATAGTAGGAAGACTTAATGCACTGGCCTTTTACAATCTACCTTAGAAAGTTACTTCTCCTCTCCAAAGCCACAAGAGAACAGGTAGAGGCCTAGATGGACTGTTCCACAGTCAAGTCATCACACTTACACAACAGTGACTCACAAAACTCTGTTCTGAGATGCTCTAAGGACCACAGTGAGGAAAGGAACCCCAAAGTCTGCAAGCACAACTCAACATGGCTTACTTGAAGCTCACCAGCTTCAACATTTCAGTTCAGTTCATTTACCTTAACCACGGTTGCCTAACCTACCTTGATAGATGACAGAGATGTTTTTTCTGGGGAGACTTCCTCATCAGAATCATCACGATTACCCCGTTTCCTCTCCAAGTTGTTTCTGCGGTGACTCTCGGAGGGCAGCAAAGAACGAAAAGACTTTTGCTCTATCTCATCCTCTGTCATCGACTCATCAAACTTCAGGGAATACTCAGTTGCAACAGAAGCAGAATCTAAGAGAGACAGCAGGGAAGTGGGTTTATGCTTAGATGTACCAGGAATGCAGCTTTACTCTCATCTCAGTGAAGTTAGGGGGGCAGGAAAGACAGCAAAATAACTACTCCCATGCAGAAAAATGGGTGTTTAGAAAAGAGTGACCTTGAGTTAGAGGACATCATTAAATACTGTTATCTAGGCTTCTCTACACAGCTATAAACATGTTTCTGGGGCTGCTGAAACATTTGGCATTCAGCCTGCAGATTCAGCAAGTGAACATCTGGCTACAGCCAGCACAGCAGAAAGCAGAATGGTCCATAGACTCCATCACTCTGATGTGCAGGATTTCTGGAGTTCCCATCTCCCTGTGCCATCTTCTGTCACCTCCTAAAAGGCTATTAATTCACCTGGGGCTCAGCTTTCTTCACACATATTCCCTCACTTATTTCAGATACCAATTCCAAAACGAGCACCTCCCTCCCCTGCTCCCCCCTTCAGATTCAACACACACAAACCACACAGCTAACCTTTTTCATCTGGCAGTGATAAAAGACTGTCACTTGGCAAGGAATCATCAACACCAGTATGAGCCTGGTCTTCAACACTGCTAGAAATCTTTTCACGACGGGAAAGCTTCTTCTCATTCTCCTTAGAAGATGGAACTGAAGGACTCTCTTGCCTGCTGCTGGTGCTACTGTGTGACCAAGAAATGATTTTGTTTAAAAATTACTTTGCACATTTCAAAATATTGACATTACATTACTACTGTACATACCAAGATTAACATCCCAGCAATAATTAACATGCAAGAGGGTTTTGTTCTGTTTTTTTCCAAACACAGCTTGACTACTTTAAACCTCCAAGCCTCTTCAAGCTGCTGATTGACAATGGAACTTGTTATTTTTATTCTACTTCAGAATGCAAGTGCTTTGTAGGTATGCATACCCTCTACTTAGCAATGAGTACTGATGATAAACCATTGCAAACATCTCTCCCTACAATTTTTAAATGGATGAGTGAGATATTGTTGTAAATTAGAAGAACTGCAGAGGACTAAATCATTCCAGTTGGTCAAGATCAGAGAAGGACTGTGAGAAACTTTAAAGGGCCTAATCAGAACAGGAAACATAAAGCTAAAATCCAGTATTAAACCAAGATACTGAAAAGTAACTCCAGAAATGAGTCAAAATCTAAACCTCAGGCAAGCAGTGCTCCAGGCGTTTCATGTAGAATCTCAAGCTAGTGCAAAGGCAAAACAAAAGCTCTAACAAAGCAAACAGACACACAAAGAAGATAATAAAAAGTAATGCACGTGACAGAGCAGGCAGCTCTACAGGTCCCCTGCACCATGTTTTCAGAATGTAAGCTCCTGTCTATGTTCTAGTTCATTTCATAAAGACAAGAGAGCAAAATGAGAAGGGCGCAAAATGCACATACTTAGGACAGGGAAAAAACCTGGATAGAGACTTAAAGTGATTGTTAGGTTATAAAGATGAAGCAACAGAAGTATGGATGTAGGCCACAGAACAGAAACCAGAATAATCTCAGCTCAACAATTTCTGAAGGTATTTAATCCAAAGTCAAGGCCACATCCAAGTTCCAAACATCTGCAAGGACAGAAGATCCCACAGCCTCCCTGCACTTCCATTCCACTGTTCAGCCAACCCTCAGAGAGATTTTTTTTTTTTTCCCCCCAGTGATTTTCCCTTTTCTGGAATGTCACCACTGCCTTTTGTCATCTCACTGTGCACCTTCAAGAAGAGTCTAGCCTTATATTCCCTAACAACCCACCTTTGGGACACTGCAACTGGATCCCTGTCTCTTTAGCCTTCTCTTTTCTAGGTTAAATTAGTTCAGTTCCTTCAGCCTCTCTTCTATATCATGAACTCCAGCCTCCTAACCATGTTGGTGGTTCACCACTAGAACTGCATTAGTATGTTAATGTCTTCTTGTTATCAAGGAGACCAAAACTGGACACTGTATTCCAGATACAGTCTCACAGGAGCTGAACAGAGGGGAATAACCATCTCCCTTAACCTGCTTGCTAGACTCTTGCTAATTCAGCTGAAAGAGAAAGCAGATGTGGAACTCACTATTTTAAAGTTAGGAAAGAGAAAAGTATCCCATTAGAACAATACAGCAAATTCAAAAGTGAAACAAACAACAACCAACATATATTACACGGTGGGCAACGGTCTAGGAGGATTTTTAAAGACAAAGCAAACTCTGGTTGGCATGTAAACCTGCAAGCTCTGGAATCTAAGAAAGGTTTACCTGTTGAAGGTTTCAAAACTGACTTTCCCTCTTTAAAAAAAAATACCGAAGGAAATATGTTGCTATTTCTTTGTACTAAAGTTCTTACTTATAGTAAAACACCACCCTGTGTAATCTAAACTCTTCTTACCTCTGATCATGAACCTTTGATCTTGAGGATTCTGAATAACTATCAAACATTGGGGAGTATGTCTGTTTTGAGCCACCTGTGTCCTCTTTACCTTGTGACATGGTGCTGGACTCGCATTTCCTGAGAAAGGGAAGTGTTTGGGGTAAATCTGCATTGTCTTAAACCAAGGAGAGAGAGTTTTCACCAGCTTTTACCAGTTTACTACAAGCAGTAACAGTTAACATTTCTGAAAAGACCACTTAAAGCTCAGACTAGTTACATCATCCCACCAGACATTTAGAGCATCTTTTTCTACTCCTTTATACAGAGCTTCACAGAAGCAGTTAGTGTCCACTTTCTATAAAGATGGAACCTAAATTCTTCTCCTTAAATGCTCACTCATTATGACAACTTAGAAATTTCTTCGAGAATAGGTGAAGCAAAACCTAACAAATCTCTCTTCCCCCTTCCTAAGATGTGAAACATCAGTCAAAAACCTGTTGGTGTCAGTTCGGGCTCTCTGTTGTTTCCTGAGCTCTGAATGGTGCTGCCGCTGGTGGTCAAACAGGGAGGTGACTGGAGCAGCTGGAGCACTGACAGTATCCGAGATCTGCTGGGTACAATGAAAAAACAAACAAAGGAATACAATGTGCTGAGCAGCATCAACTTTTTTTTTTTTTACAGAGAAAATAGTCATTCTTGCAGGCAATTTACTATTCTACTGAACAAATGTGTAAGACATACAGAAGAAATGACAGTGTACATCCAAAAATATTCCCAGCACATTGGTGACCAGCATTTCCATTGCTGCATTCTAGTTAAAATTAATGGTTGTTCAACTGAATATGAGGAGTCACTAATGAACATGGGTGGAAAAGTAAGTCTCCTAGCCTATCATCACTGTCCAGGCCATCCCTATCAGCCTCTCCCTGAACATCTTACACTTGGACTTCACATTTAAAGCAAGACAAGAGATTTAAACCCTACACCAAATAAAAGCCATTTCTTCTGCCTTGTTTCTTAATTGTCTCTAAAAATGACAAATGTTTAAGTGTCTTTATGCAAGACTTCACTATCAACAATCACTGCATGTATCTCAGATGCCTGAGCTTTTCTGCTCCTTTAACCTAAGCCATTCTTATCTATGCAAGAATGATTTAAACTTCACCTATATGGCAAAGCTCAGAACAACTGCATCAGTATAGTTCTGCAGTCCCATTACCAAGCATAAAAACAGCCTTGCTGAGCACCAGGAGGTGCAGAAACCGTGAAGAAACAGTTATGTTCATACCCCTCAGCCTTCTGCACTCCACCCCGTAACCTAATCCACAGCCATTGTCATTGCTAAACTATGAAGAAGCAAAAACATATTTCGTTACTGTGTTTCCTACCTATGAGTGAAATAGCTGCTACACATTGGAAAAAACAAGTATAAAAACTGATATTATAATAAATTAGAAGAGACTCAAAAGAAGAAAATTGCAAACTCTGTACCATGTTAAGAGCTCTGCTGAAGATCCTCCCCACTCCATTTGAAAAAAAATAAATTTGTTTGTCTCCTACCTTCAAATGTAAGTAAAACTGCAATTCCCCTGCTTTGGTAATTTGCATATGAAACAGATACAACATCAATCCCTGATGGAGTACAACTCTTGCAAATTAAAGATGTTGTGTTTGCTATCATTGATCTCTCCTGGAAGAACAAACTTCTTAACAGCTTGTTAACTGGAGATTATAATAGTGAACAGGGATTTAAGGCTGCTGACTGACTTCTGAGTAAGGATGCCAGAAAAGCTCCTTTGAAGTCCCATCATTTGCTACATCATGGAAGTAAAGAAGCTGCACTGAGAATGACAGTGAACAAAGAACACCCTAGAAGACATTTTTTAGTATTCAAAACAATACTGAAGTTAGAACAGCTTCTTCCTTTCCCTCAAGACCTCACCTCACGGATCTGGTGAGCTGCACCTGCAGTGAGAAGTGCAGTTTCTGCCTGTTTGGCTGCAGCCTTGCATGGGGTCTCTTGTACAGCCTCCTGCCGTGCCTGGACCAGATGCTGTAGGGACTCTGCATGGACCTGTGCAGAAAACACAGCTCCTTCAGTTCTCTGCTATAACAACTACAGATTTATTTCTTACAATCTGGGAGAAAAAAGTTTTACATTGGCCCCTAAGAGTTTTTTTTCAGTTCTATTAAACCCCTTCACCATTTCCATATATTCACAGCTTCAAATTAAGAATACTCATAGGCATGGATTTACTTACAGCATTTTGCCTCTTACACACTCCACATTTTTTGAAGGGCAGCATTACCTGAGCTGCCTTCTGCCTTGCCTCGTCCAGTTGTCTCTGACTTTCTAAAGCTTCTTGCTCAGCCTTGATTTTCAAAAGAGCTAAGTCACGTTCATGGCGCTGTTGATGTGCCTACAGATCAGGAAAATAAGTTTTCATCATGCAAGTTGAATGTCAAGATCTTTTTTGCTTTGCAGCCACTGGCTGCAAGTACCTCCAAAAGATCTAGACCATCTCTACTGGTGGTGCCTCTTCAGCACCTCTTCAGGAAAATTTTCAGCCCACCCACTGACCCTCTCCCTTTCTAATTAGACAGTGCACATATACTCTTCCACCACAGCCTAGAAAGAAAAAGGATATAGCAGACCAATCCATTCAACAAACTAGAATCTTGTCAACATCAGAAAATTTCAACCAAAAATATCCTTTCCATAAGACAAATGGTCCAGCTTACACTGAACAGCTACACTGCATGGCAATGGGACTCAACATCAAATCCAGCAAACAATCAAGTTTTTATTTTACTGAAGTAGACAACCAAAGCTGTGATACCAGCTAATGGTGTACTCATGACACACATGCTAGAGTCAACAGTTCCTTCATGTCAACTTAAAATAAGAAAGAGTCATTAATCCTAAAAAATTGACATTATCAGAAATGCTCCGTCATGCCCATTATGATTTCTCTGCATTGGTAACAAAAGCATAATTCGCCCTAATTTGATTAATTTTCTTGCAAATGAATAACAAAAAGGCAGGTTTAGAGAAGGAAGTATTTTTCCATTACCTTTAGAATCTGAGCCAGAGAAACACTCTCCTGCTGGGCAAGTGATATGCCTCGTACTCGATCTACATCGGAAAGCTGTCGCACGGTCTCCTCGATGGCAGTGAGGTAGTTCAGTTCTGCTGACAAACGATGCTGAAGACCAGCTGGGGAGAAACGCATACATCCTGCAGGAGAAGACTTACTGGTCAAGCTCTGTAGACTTTAATGCACCCCACCGAAAAAATAAAGAAGAAAAAGCAACCCCTCCAAAAAAACCTACTCTGGGATTTGTATGATTTTGACAGAAGAACTCACCGCTCGCTGAGGCTGCTCCTGCTGCAGATCTACCAGCTCCCAGACTCAAGTCAGGGAAAGCTACATTAGGCTTCAGCTCTGATGATGGACTTCCAGAAAAGCTAGCAGGTGTCTTGACTCTTTCTGCTGCAGTGCCCAGAGAATCAAACTGCAACTGTTTTTGGGAACCGGGTGATGTGGAAGGAGTTGGTGTCTTCAGGGGCCTTTCTTTGTCTGAGAAACTGACAGTGAAATGAAAAAAGAAAGGAGTCAATATTCTCCTAAGTCCAGCCATTTGATAAGACAATAAGGCAATAAAGTAGTTCTATTTACATACATCAGACAGACCCTGCAAAAGGCATCATCTTCCGTTTTGCACAAGCCCAGCCTGCCTTCAGGAAATGATCTTTTGTGTACCTATATGTATGTGATAGGTTTTGTGTACCTATCCCCCAATTTAGGGTTAAGTTTCTAGAGCACCCTACTTTTCCTCCAACTATTACACCTAGTTAGCACACAGACACAATAAAAATATTTTAAAATATACTTAATATTTGCATGGCCAGATACATCCAATGCCTCCTAAAAATCAGGATGCACACACCTGCACATGCTTTTACACGTTTTGAGAGTTTAAGGGAAGAACTTTATTTCACTCACAGGAAATGAGGGCAATATTCTGGTAGCAGAACACCATTAACAGTATTTTAATAAAAGTAAACAGGTGACTGTCAACATATGGATGCAATTGAATGTGGTAAGAAACTGCCCTGAGCTCCCATCTCTTTCATCAAAATGCAATTAAATGCTCTAAGGTCAAAATTTGTAAATGTATCTTGAGAGAAAATTAAAGACATCTCATTTTTGAAACATACTGAGGATAACTGCATATGTTAACTTACTTATTTTTTCTCTCCACTTTTTACAGACCATTTGTAGAAACAGAGAATGAAAATTGTGTTTCAATGCTTAAGGTACTGAACTGGACAGGACATCACCTATACACATCAGCCACTTATCCTCACAAAACCAGTGGGGGAGTGAGGGTGGAGGGTATATCACTACTTTGTATTTTCTCTTATTACAGCCATCAACTTTAGGCTTTCATATTTAAAATACAGGGGAAAAAAATGTTCTGCATGTCTATGTTACTAACATTTGAATAGTTTTGTTAATTTCCTTTTGCACATCCAAAGACATAGCCATTTTTTTTTTACCATGCTATAATACTAACAAATTTGGTTATATTTGCACACAGTCTTATAAGGATCACCTTACCTCACCAGGGAGTGTTCAGACAGGTTTTCTAGCACACTGTCTGCATCTGTGTTCTGCTCAGGGTCTTTACTAGACATTCTGCTACTTGATAAGGACTTCTTTGTCTGTTGGGAGTTCCACTCTAACTCAGATAGCATTTTATCTTCATCTGCAGGAAAGTGGTGAGAGCTTCCATTCAAACAGTCCAACCCTAAGAAGAAACAAAGTTGCAGAAAGTTTACACTTGCTATTCTGAGTATCTCAGCCATCAGGAACCCCAAAACAAATAATTGAGAACTTTTTTCCCCCATGGAAAGATGTCTTCCAGTTAGAAGTCTATAAATCCAACAAGCAAGAAATGTACATTGAGCAGATTACTACAGATTAAATTATCTTCTGAATATTGTGTCTACTGCCAACAAAACTATCACTCAGCTTTCACTTCAGCACAGTAAAGAAAAGAAGAATTTGGCTCTTCAATACTGATACTTAGAGTGAAGCCTAACTTTCTTTGGGTAAGCTAGAGAATTTGGAAAAAATAAGAAGAGTAATAATTTGGAATGTCCAATCTTATTTTTCTTGTCCTTTTATTGACTTTGAACCCAGCTTTTCCTCACATCACCCATTGCTTATATCATAAAAGTGTACCAAGTACTGAGTTTCTTCATGTTTTTGTAATGTACAAGTTACTGCAGGAAGAAGTGTATTAATTAATTAGTGCACTCAATGAAAACTATGCTTCAAAGATGAAGCACACAAGCAGACTTACTGTCACCTTCATAAACGTGGCCATAACTCAGTTTCTCAGCAGACAACTGGGATTGTCTTAGCACAGAATCTGAGTATCATTCCCTCACAATATTAAAATTATCTTGTTAGAAGGCTGGCTTAGGAAAGGGAAAAAAAATGATACTCTTAATAACCTCTTGCTGCACTTACGTTCCTTTTTCCCTCTTTTTCTAGAGGATGAAGATGAGTGAGAAGATGCTGCAGACCGTGGCCCAGAAGAATGCTGAGAAGGAAGCTCCACAGATCTAGGTTCTTGGGAAGACTTGCTGCTTGGAACTCCTTCCTGAACACTTGAATTACTGCTGCCAGCAACACTAAAAAGAAGCACATGGACAGTGATTCACTAAGGACTTCTAACTCCCACATTATACAGTGCACAATGAATCCACCAAACTTGAAATTAGAGACAGATGGCTAGAACTGCACTAATGAGCCCATATTGAAAAGCATAGACTTTGAGATTAAACACTATGGCAGCTAGGACTTTAGTAAGTTTGACATTATGTTGCACACACTTGAAACATACTTCTGCAAATGTGAAACAGTAAAAGATTAGGCCTGTAAAGCAGGGGGCTGGGGGAGCCTCACTGACACCAACTCTCACCCACTGGCTACCCAACACTGGATCCAGGGCTGGTGATTTTCTGTTAGGATCTCTCTTAACTTTTCTTCTCCTATTCTCTCTCTTTCTTCCTTCTTAAAATATTAAGTAATGCAAGACCTAACCATGATTTTCTTCTCAGGCTGTGCAGTTTGAACACACAAGTATAGTGACTTTTGTGATTTAAATAATCAGAGTTTATGATTGTGCAGCCTGAGATAACTGAAGTATCAGTACTTCCACAGTTTTAATTAAACGTAATATTCAAATACAGGCCTTAATCTGATCAAAATGATTGAGAATGCCCTCAGACCACAACATTTTAATCACTCTACCTGGCTGGATCCAGCTGCACCTGGACTCCTCTCTGAGGAGGAGTTTAGAAAGCAAGGGGGTCCAACCTGAATCTCCCTGGGTTGCCCTTCTTATGTTGAGACACACCATCCTTTCAATGCTAACTCCTAAGAGCTGTTTGACTACAGACTTGAACAACATAAGAATGATTTCAAGTATGGCTGCATTTTAGATAATTTCTAGGCATACAGATACCAATAAATAGAAAGAAATATGAGTGATTTTAAATACATTTTTACAAAATATTTGCAAATAAGGGGATAATGCATCATATACTAAATAATACTAACATAAGACCTATCAAGAAATTTATTTAGAAAGAAAGCATTTTTGGTAGCCAACATTTCCAGTGTGCAAAGTACCTTCTACCTTCCTTTCTTCTGAGGTTAAGTACCACCAGTATAAATACTGTACTTGTGGCCTTCCCCACAGGGCCCAAAAGATGTAAATATAACTTATTAGAAAAAAAAGGTGCCTTCAGAAATTCAGGAAGCCACATGACTTCTTTACTAACAGGATTTACAAAATCCTAGGATTTACAAAAGGTTTTAAAAGTTCTTACAGACAATTTATGTATCCATTACTAAGGATTACTGAACCTTTACTGAACTACTGCAGGTATTTTAACACTTTCAAAAGTATTTTCTTTTTCTAAATTGCAAAGACTAACCAATTGAGCATTACAGCAGCAACACAAGTCAGGTAATTTTTACCTGACTACAAAGGGTAAGAACCTTGCCTAAAGCTATCTGCCAGACTTAAAGAAGAACAAAAATTAGAGAACAGAGATACTTGACTCTGACCTTTATGTCTTAACCATGTTGGTTGATTTATGAACCAGGAAATACCTAATCACTTTGACTAGTATTACAACACAGCACAGCACAACAGAAAAGACAGTCAGCATGTCACAAAACAAATTCTGCATTAACTGCTCTCTGTCAAATTCTGTATTTTTATTATTACAAGCAGTCTAACACACAGTTACCTGAGGTCACGTGAAATCATCTTGTCTGTTAAAGTGCTGCTTCCCTGTGATGAGGCAAAATCATCTTCATAAGAAACCACACTCTCTGGGGGGCTCAAGGTAGGGATTAAAGGGCACAGAGGAGTAGATGCTCCACTTGACACTAAAGGAGGGAAATGACAAAAATTATACCAAAAAAATCTGCATCAAACAGAAAATAAAGGCAGAAGGAATTAAAATGTTACACTACAAGTTACAAAGACTTCCTTTCAAATTCAAAACACCAGGAAAACAACAGTATAACCATCCAGTGGCACTCTGAACAAAACATAACAAGCATGGTCTTCCTCTCTTTGTCAATGATCGAATACTTCATTAACTCATTCCAGCTAAAATATTCTTGAAGAGCACAGTGCTTGAGAGTAGAGCCACCTGTAGAAAATTTAAATTCAAACACCTTTAAGGGAAATAAAATGAAGGCAAAAAGAATCAAGAAAAACCACAAGGTAAAAATCAACTTCTGAGAAGATCTCCACAAAACGAGGACCTCAAGGCAAAAGAAACAGTACTCAGAAAAAGAAGAATTTGTACAAAAATACACTCAGGGCAATTTAGATGGAGTATGCAAGTTTGGATACAACAGATGCAAACTCTACATTCAGATATCTGTAACTATGAGCGTCCTTTATACTTGTAACCTGGTATATGAATTAATTATTGATCTAAAAATACAGAGCAATACAAAAATAATCTTCATGCAGCCCAAAAACGTGCCAAGTTTTTTGTGTTGTTTTTTTTTCCTTACACAAGCAAAAGAAGGGGTGGAGGAGGAATAATTTATCATCCAAAAGTAAAGTGAGAAAGCCTTACACAGATTCATGTTTGAGACATCTAAAAGCACATTCTTTACCTGTGAAGTATAAAGTGTAAGGAGTAGGAAGACTGGGAAAACAGAAACTCACAAGAGCTTTGAGAAAAGTTTCCACTTTTAGCTCTTCCATGAAGCTGATAACTTTTTGCAAAGATGTTGATGACGCTGTGAGGACTTCCCTTTGCCAGGTCCTCCCATGGTCCTTTGCTGTGTGTGCCACTTGTCTGAGTGAAAAGTGGTAAATACTTCTCAGCTTCTTTCTGAAACTCCTTGATGGGCTCAAAAGCATTTCTCTCCCGAATGCAGAAATCCTTCTCTTTTAACGTCTCCAGCATCTTCAGTGGCAACTGTTTGTGCTGGCCTCCTTCCTCTTCAGACAGGCTTCCATCACTCAGGAGAGACCCTTTGCCAATGGAGTCCATGCTGGACACCTGAGGAACTGCAGCTTTATTCAGAGCATAAGCCTGGTTTTCACACCCCAGGGTGTCAGCCTGTCTCTTTGACAAACGTCCTTGTATCCCCTCATGCCTGTTAGCAGAGGGGGACCTCATTCCAATGCTGACTGCAGCACTATGAGGCCTGATCATCTCAGGGAGCTTTTTAAATTCACTAAGGTTGCTTACCCCAGGAAGGCCATCATCAAAGGCTGTATGAGATCCACAAGTACCCAACATTTTTTTAATTCCAACTGAAATAGCATCTTCATTTTCCTCTCTCACAGGAGGACTCACAGCTTTTGCCCACCGTCCATCATCCTGGTTTTCTTGCATAAATTCACAGTCTGACTTCCACATGGGACCACAATTGATACCAGCCCCAACCAATTTCCTGGCTTCACTTTCAATTCTGCTAGAAAGGGAAGCAGCTGTAGCTCTCAAAGCTTCAATTCGATCTAATTTGCTCTTATATTGGTTAACAGTAGGTTTCACTAAGAGATTTTGCTGCGCAGTGTGTGGATTCAGGTATGGCTGAGGCCCCAAGGTCAGCAATCCCATGGGTGCTGTGTGTCTCCTCTTGCCTGCCAACATCACATCATACTCTTTGGACAAAAGGTCCACCTGCTCCCGACTCCAGTGCTGAGAGCAAGGGCCTCCACTTGAGCCCATGACAGCTTGTGGCTGAGAAAGGTGCACCCTGGGGCTCAACTGGTCTGGCTGTACCCATGGAGGCTCCACCAAATCGCTCCTGAAATGAGAAGTCAACACTTAAGTTGATGACTTAGACAAGTACTGTTGTTTTAAATAAAAGTATCACTGCCACAAATTTATTTTTCAGGAAGAAATATTGGTGGAATCAGAGGGGTGGGGAATGGCACAGAGAACAGAATGTTATTTAAAAAAAACCAACAAACAAACCAGAACCCAACAAAACCAAACATTATGGTACCTTCCAAATTGTTAATGTTGTTTATGGTGTACTGTGTGTTTTAGAGTTGCAACAAGCTAAAGATTTTAATCAGCAGCAGCAAGTCTTTTCCAAAAGTTTCCTGACTTCAAAAGGGAGGAAATATCCTTTTTTTTTCTTTTTCTTTTTTTTAATTCCTTATCTCTAGTCTTTCCCCTCAAGCTGAACCCAGCCCATGTTTCACTGGAGCTGTCACTTAGGGAAGGCATGAAAAACACTTGGAGAAAAGAAAGACTGGAAATACAAAGACATTTAAAGCTCTATAAGACATCTTTCTTTCCAGACAGCTCCCATTTCCAATACCACTTGCACATATTCTGAATACTAAGAAACTGACAATACACTGAACAATTTAAAATGGGGAAAGCAGCATGAAAGGAAATAGGGAAAGGCTAGTTCAAAGCAGAAGCAGAGGTCTTTGGAACTTAAAAAACAGTAACAAAAGGCCTGAATCCAAGACAATAGATTAAATAAAAACATGGAACAAATCAAATAAGAAAAATCAATAGACATATTCAAAAGATCAGCTTCTGTTGCCTGATGGGAAATGGCAGAGGAAATATAGTCTCTCAATGTGAAATGCACACCCTCTTAATCTCAGCAGAAGATTAACAGCAGACACCAGTCAGTTTATTTATTTACAGACTCACTAAAAACCCACAGCCAAAATTTTCATACGCTTTCCTGCATCCGCTTCCTCTTTACTGCAAGGAAACCTCGTAACTGCCATAAAGACAATTACTCTCACTAGGACACAAGAGCCTAGTCTGTATTCACCTCTCAGAGGTGAAAATGAGAGTATTTTCCTCTCTCCCCAAAGGCCCTCAGTGGCTCACCTCAGCAGCGGCTGCTGTGGCTCTGAAAGTGACATGTCACTACTTGAAGATGCGCTGGGAGGACGCTCTTGAGCCTTGTTTTCTTTGTCAGATTCCCCAGATGGTTGATAACCAGGTTTGGGCTAGAAATGAAGACAACCAGAAAAAATGCATTTTCAAAAGCCTGCAGGAGCCTGGAAGCTCTTGTCTCATTACAGCTGAAAAGGCTTACATTTCTCAGCATAGTATCACACCTCTCCTACCATAAAAAGGCTTAAAAACACAATATTTAATTCACAGCTTATCAAGTTTGCCCAACAACCCAAAGCAACTTCAAAAAAACCTCTTCAATTCACAGTTTGATTGATGCTCATATTTTCTTAAGAGCCAACCTTTACAGCTGCTGCTAGTTAAACCCTAGAATTCTGCTTCTATTTATAACAGAAAGATGATTTCCATTCACCTTTCTAGTAGGGCTTGCTGTGCTGAAAAGCAGCCACTAGTGAGGAGGCTCTGGATCAAAACCACTCTGTTTCAGCAAGAGTTACAGAGTTTTGTTTGTATCTTAACTGATAGCCCCAGTAGGACAACTCATGACCTTCCTAAACACAGGACCTCCTGTTTCCACAAACAACTGCAACATATGAAGTTAGTGAATCAGCTATACCTGGGCTTCCTGCACTGTAGGCAGCTCAGGTGGCTCTCCCAAAAATGCATGTTCCAGCAATAGTTTGGAATAGGTTTCCTGTAACCGTTTGGCTGCTGAAGGTTCAGGAGGCGGAACGTTCTTGGCTTTAGTAAAAGCCTCCTTCTGCTTTCTGTAGAGCTCTTGGAGCCTTTTGTTCTTCTGTTCTGTTGCCTCCTTTTGTGCTTTCTTCTCTTCATTCTGTTTCTTCTTCCTCTCCTCTTGCTGCCTGATGATGTACTGACGAACCTCGTCCGTATCATAGTGACGTTTCTTAGAGATCACTTGAGGCTCCTCATTGGCAGCAATCTTTTCTGGTTTCCTTTTGGTTGGACTTTGGCTCCTGGCACTTTGAGTAGGCAAAACAGATTTCTGTTTTTCCACGTCTTTCTCTTGCTTTGTAGTCATGGAATCCAACTGCAAGTCATCAAGAATTCCACGTATCTCCACAGGCAGAAAGTCCTTATTTACAGAGGCATGATCTTCTTGGTTAGTGTCTGGAAGAGCAGCTTCCAGTTTCTTCAGGTTATTCTCAGACCGTACTTTACTCCTTGACCTTTCAGAACTTCTTGAAGAGGTTTTATGGGTAACATCCAGTCTAGAATCTGAACCTGTCCTTCCAATATGGCCTGCTAAAGAACAAGACATGTCAAATATTTTTGGTAAAAATCACATTTGGGAACTACATGCCACCACTGAAACAGTTGCAAAAGAGAAGATGAGGGAGGAGTACTGATCTCACTATAAACTTTCTTTGGCTTCATTCATTCTGAATATAGCAGCCTTTGCTTAGACTGAGCTCACACCTTTCATAACTCTAACCAGCCTCGCAGGCATAACAGAACAGCAGCTACTACCATCCCTTACTTGCCCTGAGATTCCTGATAAATTCTGAAAAGGGTTGCTGAAGGAATCAAGGAAGATTTATAATGCACATGATGACATTTTACAGCACCTGGAAGGGATGACCAACCACATATTATATGCAGCACATACGGAAAATTCATCTGGCCTATTGACTCTTTGTAGCCATTCCTTTCCCCACTAGCTTCAAGAGGCAAAGATAGATTGTAGGTGATCTTTTGGTTTTTTTTGGCTGCAACCTACTTCCCATCTACTCCAGAGCTCCTGAGCACCTCTACAGCATATACTGCCCTCCAAGTCAAATGGGCAGGGTTGCATTACACCAAGAGTTCACAACCCAGTCAGGAAGAGAGGTTATGCATCCCAACCATGGATGTGAGCAAAATTACACCCCCTTGAATCCCAGGTTAAAAATAGTAATTATTTTGCTAAGAAGCTGATTACATTCTATCTCCAAAGGCTGCTTTATTCTGCAGACATGCAGTATTATATAATAAATCAAGAACAATTTAAAAAGTCCAGTGACAAAAGTACAACTTACCAGACTTGGCAGCTCGCTCTCGTCCTGTTCTGTCACTGGATACAGCCCTTCTGTCCTGTTCTACTCTGGGAGCTGGACCCAGGATCTTTTTTGCTAATTTCTGTCCCTCTCGCCAGGAGGATGTAGTTATTATACAGTTTCCACCTGCAAAACAAGGTAATAAATAAAAGTCAAGCACCAGATGGATTTTTCAACAGATCAGAAAGAAGTATTTATGGCAACTGTTAGTAATTTCTATACCATTGAGTTCTGCACAAGTGGAACTGCTGCAGCTACACAAGACAGTCATGAAGATGCTCAACAGCTGAACCACCCAACTGTGTGTGAATAACACAATGGAAAATGCAAAAACATGCTGTAGCACATTAAAGCCCAACAAAAACTGATTTAAAAAGACGAAAAAAGGCTTATACAGGTTGAAAAACTTAGAAGCAAACATTACTAGGGGAGAGGGGTAACATTTGTAGAGGCCTGAGAAGAAGCTGTTATCCCCACTTTAAAAAGAAAGATAAAAGGACCTAAAATGTAATAATAATTAAACAAAAGTTAGAAGACAGAGAACAATGTTAATCCTAGAAGAATCTTAGTTGATATGACAGGAAAATAAAACTTTATAGAGATTTTTACAGATAATTAATTGTTGAGACAGGTGTCTTCTGAAGAGGGTAAAAAATACAAAGCACCAGTTTTTCTACATAAGTACTAACTCACTGTCCTCTAGCTGGGACTTCTGCACCATGACTGGAAATAGTTAAGATAATCCCTATTAGCTGACTAATTCAAGAACAGACTACATTGCAGGTGACAGAAACCCAACTAAAATGTTATTAGTATTATCATCCTACATATAATTCAATTATAAAAACTGGCTACAGTGGCATCTTTGCCTAATATTGGTTAAATTAGATGTTAGGTTTGTTTGGCCTACCTTTCATCCCACTAATTTCCAGCATTAGTAATCTTTTATTTTTGAAATAATGACCTTAAAGAGCTTTGGAGAATAGCATCATATAAAAAAAACAGAAAAGAATTAATAACCTAATTCAGACCATTTTATTGCTAGCAAAATATCTAACTTGAATATCTAACTTTGCAGTTGATTTCTAACCATTCAGTTTCAGCTTTTACTGCCTAAACAAACCCAGGCCCTGCAGCACAAACACAACACAGCCAAACAAAAAGGGATTGTACTCTGGGTCAAACAGGACTTTGAAGACACAGGACTAAAGGAACTTCAAGTGAAATTCAGGATAGCAAAGCTATAGTGTTTTGGCAATTCCAGCCCTCAGTTCTCACCCTCACTTTCTTTTCTTTGTTGTTTTTAAACCAGAAAGAGGAAACTTGAAGGCCACTATTCATTCATTTACCAAGAGAACTCCTTACTTGCATTGTAAATTCTCCAAGTACTTTATACATCTGTCACTTGAAACATGTCACTACAAGCCTCTTAGAAACAGACATATCAGGCAAAGGAGTTCTCTTGCTCACATTGCTCTCAATTACTTCTACGTGCATTTAAAAAGGCAGCATGAAGTCTCATCTTCCATTTCCAGTCAGCTGTTTGAGCTAAAACACGCTAACGGAGTGGAACATGAGCTGGGCTATTTATAGCCTTGGCCACAAGCAGCAGTTTCTTATTGCTGTGACTGGGGGAGAAGAGACCATCACAGATCTGTCACTTAGATCTGGTTCTTATCTTCTAGGGATTTCAAGCCATCATTCTCCTCACACTTAGTCTATTATGGAGAACAACCATTGCCATTAAAACTTGCACCAATCTCTGCGCTCCTCCCTCACTTGGAACTGTCACAAATACATACATTAGTTTAGTATCATTCCTTTGGTATGAATTGATCAGCACAGGAAGGAGTAAATCTACTTATCGCTTACTTTCAAGTATTAGCATGAATTAACACAAAATATTCACATGTAGCTTCATGATTTACAGGATGAAGAACTGCATATTCACTGTCTAAAATACCCTTAGTGTTACTTTTTAAAGCAGCTTTCTTTCCTCAAAATATCTTTACCAGTTATGGGTCACTTTACTCAAGAAGAAATATAAAAACCTTAAAAGGTGCCATACCTTGCATGTATTTAAAGAAAAAAATTCATTGTTCTGTAGTGCAATTGCAGTCATAACTACTTACTTTATATGAAAATTAAAACTAAACACAAAGCAGAGGTAGAAGCCTTCCTAATTCTTTTGCTACACACAATATCAAAGATTAACATTACTGGAAAACCAAGAAGCACTGACAGAATTCCACTGCAGCTAGTTTAATTTTCTACTATAAGGCACTGCTCTAAAGTAACTTGCTCACATCATCCTCTCTGAAGAATTCAATTTGTTTAATAGACAGTGCAAATGTCAGACAACAGTGAAAACAGAAAATTCTTCATTGGTAAAATAAATAAACATTCCTTTACAAATATTAAGATTTGTAAGGCCTGTCAGGGAACAAGTGTTTAC